GGCCGAGGAGGACGGGTGCGGGCAGGGCCGTACCCAACAACCTCTCGCAATTCTGTCTTTTCGTGTTTCTACCGGTAACTAAGCATGGGTATATCGATCAATAAAACCCAACACTAACTGGCCTCCCATGCTGCGGTATATGTGTACACATGGAATTATCATGGAAAGGGAGTGCTGTAAAATCTAGCCATAGCCGATATATTGATTGACAAAGATGTTTAAGGGCTATCTAACTAGTTACATGGTTTTATACTAAGTGCCGAAAGCGAGTCAGTAGGTTTCAGTCCCCTAAGGCAATGATGGGCGTTTAAGTACCTGCTAAAATATAGGCACCTTTTAAGGTGTAAAGTAGAGGTACCGTAACGTAAACCCTTTAAGGTAAAAAGAAAACAAAACTTTTGGTAACATGTCGCGTGAGTGAAAATTAAAGTTAAACACAGGCTCATGGTGTTTATCACAAGGACGACAGTGATGTAATGATACACGGATGCGGGAGGTAGAGGTTGAAGACTATCAACTTCGCACATATATTATATTAGCTCAAAAAGGTATTCATGTGGGAGGGCTACATACTACTTCGATGAGTGTCTCTCATCAATCAACCCATAGATCCCGCAGCATCATGTACTAACGACAATCACGCCTTTCAATTTCATGGATTGAGCTGGTTGGTGATGGAGCCCAGTCAAAGAAGATCTCTCCACTGACAGTGATCCAAGAGCTTCTGTGATCATGAGTGGGCTCATAAGTGTCACGAAATTCGACATATTCTGCTTCGTGGGTGGTATTCCTGACCAACGAGTCGGGAGAAACTTGATTCTCTACGTATAGATCTAACGTTATCAGCCAAAGTCAAAGCGAAATTTAGGTAAAAGGATACGGGTTTTTTTTTTTTTTTTTTTTTTTTTTTTTTTGGGGGGGGGGGGGGGGGGGTGAATACCGGCAATATTTGAATTTAAAGCCTCGCAGTCAGGATTACCACATAAGATATCATGGATAACGCCACGCATTCCGTTTCCCCCGCAAGGAGTCACAGGATCGAACTTTAAAGTGATTTCCTCTAGCTCGATGCTGTCCTGATCAACAATAGCAGGACGGACCACACGAACGCAGTCGTGTGCATCAACATCTACAACTAGCTGGTCTCTTTATCGAAAGATTTATCAGCTGAGGCTAATTGAAGATTTTGTACATGAGGGGGATAACTATACCTCGCTTCATTATGTTTTCTGGCCATGGGGAAGCAGAAGATCTTCCAAATCATTCTCTTACTCTTTTCATGTAGACTCTTGAGAAATTCCATCTTTGTGTTTGACAAAAAGATTCGTTTGAGAAGCTTAAAGATTTGATGTATATGGAGTTGATGGAATTGGTAGATGGCAAGGGGATGTTGTTTTGATGGATTGGATGTATATTGTAGGTATCATACAAGTCTCAAAGGTTCAACGGATCTGTGCTTGAAGAGGAATTAAAGTCTAGGGAGGAAGACGGAGAAAGAGAGATGAAGCTGGAGAAAGAGGGAGGATGCACAGAGGAAATGTGAAGAGTGGAGGAGGAGGACGAGGGAGCAATGAAGAGAAGAAAGAGGGAGAGAAGGAGCAGCGGTAGAAGAAAGCGATAGTAGTGGTGGTTGTAAGAGAAGGGAAATATGACGCGAAAACATTGCACACACAAGCTACTATGTACATCGTGCAAGCCCTACGTAGGGGGCTCATTCATGTGGTAGTAGCTCGATTTATTGGGTGAGTTTTTACTTATCAACGAGGCAACCGCGTGTGATGAAGGTTTTACTAGGACCTGTTAGAAGCAGCACATGTTCTTTTAGTTTATATATTGCATAAACCCCATATTTCTTAGTCTTTCAGCGGCGTATAAGGATGTGAGGTTTGTGTGTGAGACGAAAAGTCCGATCTATCGTGTGACAGTAAGAGATTTAGTCGACTAGTACAGCAATCCCATACTATCTCGCTCCTCATTAGAGTATGTTCACATGACAAGGAAGGGAAGGGGAAGATACGATATATTGAATCTCGAGCTCTCAAGGATAGCAATGTATCAAGACTTGTCATAATGAGTATGTGCACATGAACGTTAGCCCACCTGATGTACGCTATTTCACAAGAATTTAGTTTGATAGGTCCGGGGAGATTTCTTAAGTTTGTAGGGTCGGCGCGTCTCTTTTGCGTGTTTTTCGTTAGGTATTAGAGCTGGGTATGTCCCCGAGACGTAAACGCGTGTGTTTTTCCGTCCAAAGAAGGCCATAGTGCCGGAACAACGGGTTCATTTCTGCCTGTGATCTTCTGCTTACCTCTGTTATTGGTATCAATTACAGTTCAATCTTCGTATAGGGTATATACATAAGTCGTAAGTGTAATCATTTATTAGGGTACTATGAGCTCTCATCTTTCATAAAATTGAATTTTACGTGTATCAAACACTTTTCTGTTCTGGAGCACCTCACTGCCCGAAGAAAAAAATTCAATAACAGCTTGAGTTATAAGTACAGTTACATCCCGCCTTACAATTGAACGCGGCTTGTGCCGAGGGAGCTGCTTTATGTCAATGTGTGATACCCCCAGAATTTCCTTATCTGATTCTAAGTGATTGCACTAAGCGATAAGATATCAGCTGATAACGATAGTAAGAGTCAATTGATTTGATGCGATAAGTACTGATCAAGCAAGATAACGATAATAGATAAGATTTAGACAACGATAACGATAAGATCTTAGATAGACAATAATTCATTGGTCTGTTTTCACAACTGGACATGAGAGGTCGGGCCACCAACATATATAAATTTTACTTGTTTCCCCTACATCTGTGACCCTTCCTCCATCTATTCCGGCATGTCTATAACGTGTAGGTATTTAGATTCTCTGAATACAACCACGCAATAGTGTGCCTAGCTAATATATTTTCGTTTTTGTAGGGACAGACGACAGGATAACTGCAATCAGGGTATGTGAGACGAAAACATTGCTTCAAAAAGCCTGCGCTTCCAGGTCCATGGTGAGCGAGTACCAGTGGCGATCAATATACTTGGCAAGCTTGAGCCCCACGTATATCGAGAAGAGGAGCCCGAGGTAAAGACCAATGAAAACATCCGAGGGGGCAGTGGGGCCCATGGTTGTATGCCGGTAATCTGTTTCAGCAAGAAAGGAATCAAAGTCAGGAGTCTCCACCATTAAGAGGGATCTGCCTAGGAGCGGGGTGCCTACATCTTAGCTGTGAAGTCTTGTACTATGGAATTTCTTAAAGGAGAGTCAGTAAAAATAGGATTAAGGAACTTCTTTAACTAGATCTGTACCTGCAGCTGGTATCGTGAGTAGTCGAGAATGACGATAGTGAGGGAACTTTCGATGTTATCTGGAGAGGAAATGTATTGTCGAGGGTGTGTTGAGTGAAGAAGGAGGATTGGACAGAGAGAAGGTTAAGGTGAGTAGTACAATCACATGTGGGGGATAAAGTATAATGAGATAGCTTATGTACGTACTACAACTTTCAGTTACTAAGTGTGGAAATTATTACAGTGCTGTTCATCATATGTAAGTCCTTGCCTGCATTGATTGAACTAATTTGAGTGTTAAACTCTCTCCTACAGTATGTATATGTATATACGAAATGCGGCGGGAGAAACAAAAATATGCTGTGCGTAAAGGAATTCGATCACTATCTAAGAATACAAATCGCGTGAAATTAAGAGCTTGAAATGCAAAGCCCGATTGAGTGAATTACTGGCGCTGCTGGGCATGGGAGGGTTGTGTGGGCTTGAAGAAAGTACATGTAGTCACCCAGCATCACACATGACCACGTGCACAGCAGCCCAAACTTATACAACTAATTTATGGCTTTATCATAGGAGTTGATTTAAGCTTACATTTATTAAGTGTTTTTTAAAATAAAAAACGTGCTTTTATGTTTAAAAATCTAACACTCTGCTGGCTTCTCCAAATTGCTGGAACTACCACCTGGTCTAGCTCGATGCAGTGAGCGCAGCTACCCATTGCCACGTTGCAGCCAAACATGAACGCACAATGAAGTTCTAATCCCGAGACTCTCTGGGTAATAATAGGTCCGTCGCCATGATTGTCTTATCCCTCCCTTTTTATGCAAACCTCCAAAATTCCTTGATCTTAATTAACTAATCTTCTAGCTCACTAAGGGCGGCGGTTATCAGATTACCATCAGCTGCCAGTAGAAGATTGCAATGTAATTTTTTTTCACTAGCATCGAAAATGTTCATGGTCAAAGTACGTCTTTGGTTTTCTATCTTAGGGGAGCGGTCTTCATGCTAACACTTATAGAGTGGTCATACTGGGAAGGCTCAGTAAGAAGAACGCAGGCGGGACTCAGTGGTTTATCGAGAGCTACCGGTGGGCTCTCGTGAGGTTTAGTAGACTTGGTGATTATTCTATAGTGAAAGTATGCTATTGGGTTTATCCTCTCTCACTCTTTTCGGAAACCATTTTAATCATATGTCTATAGTCGTCTTTATTACCTATGGTTGTCGGAAGACTTCAGTCATATGGATCTTGATGGATGAGGATATTGTTGATAACTGGATATGGCTGTGATTGGGTTGAAGCCGAAGCATAGTCAATAAGAAGGTATTCAAAAGTAACTCCATTTAAGAGGATCCGTATTGCTCACGTGACATCTGTGAATTAGGGTGTACGTTGAAAAGAAAGAGAATATATATCTTGCTCGACTTGAGAATCTATTGAACTTTTGGAGAATAAGTGGTTGTTTTTATCGTTCGCGAGGAACGGAGAAAGGTAGTTAACAGTGCACGGAGACAACTACAACTATTACCGAGGATGAGCTAACTGTGGTGTAGGAACTTAGATGGTGGAAGAATAGTTCGCAGGTTGCTCTATTTGGGTGTGCGATGACAATTTGTTTCTGTCGGAGGCTAAAAGAAGTTTTAATGTGTTGGAAATCATTGTGCATGTGTGTCGCTTGCACGACCGCGTACCGGTATATTATTGGAGATTTTAATGCCTGTCTTTCCTTGGTGGGATGTTTCGGCGCATCGTTTTTGGAAGCAAAGCAAACTGCTGCAGAAGCATCTTGCGGTAGTATATAAAGCGATTGTTTCAAGTTTTTCTGTACTCAAGGCATTTATATTAGGATATTGACACCATCATAGTTTAGATATACCGATTTCCGAGAGATCAACCTTGGTCATTATACCTCCGGTCCCGTATGCAAATTCCATTTTCATACTGACGATATATACCTAAGTTACCTAACTAATCAGGGTGTTCAATACCTCCAGCGACCTATGGTGTTGGTTGACATTAGTTTGCGACGTTCTCTGGCCGGCCATGCATTTAGACAGGCTACTGATGATCACAGATATATATACGCTTACGCTGGAGTTTGTATTATTTAAATGAGCATCACGACGTACGTACGGAGCGTACCGACTACTCTACTACGTCAAAAACTGGAGCACATCATCGATTCAGTGGATGGGATAGTCAATAGCCTTCTCGGAATAGAGGACATGGTGTTGGTATCTCATGCTTGGAGATCATTTTAGGTATAATTGTATAAGTGTTATGTTGTTTGGTGCAGTGACCTCTGGTAGTCCGTCCAACGGGGAATGAGAGCATGCAAAGGGTAAAATTGAAAGGGTGAGTGAATCAATACTCTAAAGTCTATAAAGGCTCTATGGAGAGAGTTTACCTCTAATTTCCGGGTGAAGGTCGACGCCTAGATTGACGATTTCTGGGGTTTTGTCCATTTGAAATCAAGCTCTGGGGGTAAAACTCACTTTCAACTACTATAAATATAGCACTCATCAATATTGACGGTCGGAATATCACGTTAATATAGGTGGAGGGATCGAGCTTTTGAGTCTGAGGCATACTCGTCAATTCAATTAAGTATTGCCAGGTTACAGAAATAATTACGCATCCGGGCCCGCATGGCAACCGGAAATCCTTTTCATACGTATACGACACGATCCTCAATCCCTTTCATTCAAGCCATAGACAAGAATACTAGTTCTATAACTCTCTAGACTCATAGATATACAAGCATCTTTTTCATATCTATTGCGGTTATCAAAATATACTCACTTGTGATGGTTGTTTGTTGAAGTTGTGTGCGTAGTTATTTTTGTAACCCGACAATACTTCGTCGACCTTCACACGCACAGGAGTGCCTAAGTACTGTCATAGTTACCAGGCAGTTCGATGTGGGCCAGAAATATCTATTTTTCTGCGGTACTCGTTGGATGAATGGGACGTGTCCAGTTCTGGGAAACACAAAGTGGTCGGACCACTGTATTGTCACACTTTCCAACCGTCACATAATAGGCTCGCAAAATTACGCCATTGGCCCAAGAAGCGAGAGAGTACAAGATACGACTAATTGGGAACCGGATAATCTTGCCGAATTATCCCACTGTTCTGTGCATCGATGTCGTCCCACAAAGTCCAGGTGGCTGAAATGATAGGAAAGCCCTGTACGTAACGTCAACCCAGATTCCAGAAATCATATATACAAGAACAGATCTCGGGAATGTTATCATTAACAACCAATCTAGCTTTCCGGCGGAAGATGGGAGTGTAGGACAAACTCTATTTCAACGACGAACCTCATATGCAGTGAGGTTGTTCGCACGGATTTCATGGTTGAGCTAGTTCTCAAGCAATATGCGGTATGTTATAGATACATATATAGCCTTTGAGATACATTATGGCCCGCTTTATATATAACATCAATCTCTTTGGTTGGTCCACAGATGGCGGGGATGGTTTTGTCCCGGAGTCTTGTCTGGATGATATTAATAGTCTCTTCACTTGAAATACGAGTGATTGAACCAAGATCGACTAAAATCATAGGTTGTTTCAGAATTCTATTCTGGTGGTGGATGAGCTAATACTTTGCGGCCAGATACATTAGGTGTTTCCTTGACACATAGAATCATATCTGGTCACTCATGTTTAGCAATTACTAGGATTACATGCCATTTCCTGGTATCTACTTTAGAGGGATCCCTGAAGCGAAACCAACAACCACAATACCGGAATCAGAGTTCCGAATCCTTATGACTGGCGATCAACGAATAAAATATTCCTAGGTGACTAAGCAAGTCTCGAAGACAGGTCTAGCGATTTTCGTCTTGTCATCAATCCCACATGCGCTGGACAGCGCAGTAAGATTCTGGCTTTCAAGTTCCTCCATTTCCTATACTGGGGTAAGGAGATTTCTGGCCCCCATTATTAATGATTCCACTCCCGTTTCTCCGGAACTGATCGAGTGGGAGGAACGAAACACAGCAAATGCATATCTTCAATATATTCAGCTACAAAATACGTATAAGGAAGGATTTGGAGTTAAGGAAAAATGGACCTCTTACGGCAACTCGGCTTTTTAGCGAAGAAGGTTCTCACCACCTTCTGTCGGTGGCTCTATTATTTACTTGAACCCTTGCCAAGCTACAGGATAATATCCCTCACTCCACGCGACGCGAGGAGCATTTATCCAACAACATCGCGATCATGGTATCCTCGTAGGAATTTCTGCATGCATGTCCAGGCGATGCACTCGGTAACATGGAAAACACTAATGTGGGATAAGTGCATTCCAGGGGTCGTAATGTCGTGTTACCAGGTTCGCCCCTCAACGCCTTATTGCGGGATGATCTTTACCTCCGGACACTAGTAAGTGGCTTAAACGGTCGCTGTAGAGGTCGTCATAGATTAAATACAAAGCTCCGACCCCAAATAATACTCCTGAAGAGAACATGAGTACAGACTCGTATGATGAATGGCACGGCTTCTGGAAAGGATGTACCGGGTTCCCAATTGCCGTGATATCCTTGACAACAACCAGACCTTACAACACGATGGCTCTGTGCAACTTGAGAGCAAGTAATGATTTGTGCATCTTTACCGCAACACTGCAGCAGGAAAAGAAAACTCAGCTCTCTCGTATTTGAGAAGATTATAAGCCGAACAGACATTATTTATAGCCTTTTTGAGTAAGAATAGTCATCCAGCTGTGATGTGTGGAGCCAAGACATCTTGCATGCAACCAATGATTAGATTAATGTGAATTATTTGGGGGCGAAGCTCAATATTAGAGTTGCGAAATCATCCAGAATTATCCATCCGAAGTTAAGTGAGTTAGATGCATGCAAGTGATAAGTAACTATCGCGCTCTCATGATCCTATCATTCTCAAAGCTAGCCGGGGGAATCTGCTCCCGTCTTTCACAGATAGTGTCAAAACTCCAAAGATCGAAAGCGTCTTAACGAAGCTCCACAAAATTATACGATGAGGGCTTTACGAGCCTTTATCGTCCTAATACGATTTCGAGAAGATATCCCGCTTGGGGCGAATGAGGTTGATATCTATTAATATCGCAACTTGTCCACGACATTGATTACCTAAGCGGTTTCGGGCAAGTGTTTGAGTGAGTGACTTTCGAATTCCTTCGATCGGATATACACAGATTTGATGCTGTTGTACCAATTATTGAATTTATTTTTCACAATAAGGTTTACTAGGAATTCGGAGGATTCGCTCCGACCTTGCCGAATCCGAATAGTACTATATTTTTTAGCTTAGGAAGTCCCATGTCGGAACCTGGACTTACTAGATCGAAGATTGTGAGGATGTATGTAGCGTTGTACGACCGTTCAGGATATTTTCCGGCAATAAGAAACATAACGGATGTATTCGTGACGCCATGAGGCGAAGTGACTCAGCCGTGATTCTTGGGCGTTGAATATTGCATAGTCTGTTAGAGTACAAATACCAGTTCTACCACTGTTTATCAGTTAGATGCAGCGACTCGACCGGTGAGAACGGCAATAGATTGTGCGTTATAATGATACTTCATCCATGGGATCCGAGGTAGCTCAAAGCCAACTAACCAGGAACATGGGTGTCGAAGGAAAATCAGGCGTGGGTCATTTCAGCCAACCACAGGTTACTGATCTATTCAATATATATATATTGCATGGCAGGGGTATGAGTACAGTTGAACCAATGAGAACCAGCAAGCCCTGACCAGGGATGAGCTGTCAGCTTCATATCGGGTTTAACCAGTAGGTTCAACCAACCATCAATGAGAAATGTTCTGAATAGCAACCTTAAAAATCCCTGTCGAATAAATACTTGCTGGCCAGTGGAACCATTCTAAGCATTCGGAAATGCACATCTTAGAACCTTGGCTAGTAGGTGCGTACGTTTCTGCTCGACTGTCTATGGCAATGAATGTTCTGCACGTGACCTTTGAATGGGACACAAAGGATTAGTTAAGAAATCATGATAGAGAACGCGAAAAGTGGATAAATAGAAGGGCTTCTGCCTCTCTTCAATACCATCGGCTTCACTCCTCATCTCAAGCACAGATCACCAGGAGCACTGTAATTCCGGATCCCTATTCACCTTAATCCTAATCATCCACCCCGCCACATCTACATCATGAAGTTCCAAACTCTCGTTCTTGTTGCGCTTTCTGCCTTGGTCTCAACAGTGCTCGCTATCCCTACCCCTTGTGACGTCTGCGCAAACAGCTGCACTGTACAGTGCGCTGCACAGGCACCACGATCATGCTTCTGCCCACAGATCTGTGGTAAGTAAATGGAAATATCATATCACGATGTCACCTGAGACTAATCTTTCATTCAACCAGATCCTGAGTACTCCACATGTACCACCCGCCGGTCACTTCTCGGAGAACGTGAAGCTACACCAGCACCAGCACCAGCACCGGCCACTAATCCCTGCGGATGCTACAACGACTGCACCTTCTACGGTTGTGGTGACGATGTTGCGCCAGAGGACTGTTTCTGTACCAAGGAATGCGGTCAGTAATCACACTCCACCAGGTCTTATTGAGGCTTCATACTAACAGAACCAGATCCCAAATACGCTTGTGATGCCACTACCACCGAAACGATCGAAGCAAGACAGGTTACATGCGGACCATGCACCAACGCGTGCAAAATCAATTGCCCAACATGCATCTGTCCTGAATATTGTGGTATGTGTCCCAAACCCAAATTCTTCCTATCGCGTAATGATAAACTAACATCCACCTCTTAATAAATAGACCCCGCATATGAATGCCCAGCCACAGAATAAATTAATACGGGCCATTAGAACTCGGATGGCCGAGAGTTCTATTATGCGGCTAAGTACATAACATGTACATGTAGTTAGATCTAGAATCTATTAGCATTCTAACAATAAATATAAATATGCAAGTGCAGGAAGATCTTAAGAGGCACTAGTCAAAATTATTGTTGTACCTGTGAAGGAAAATTGTCCATGGACACATACGTAAACAGTGTGGCGTTAAATATATTCGCCATGAAAGCGTGACAATAAATGAAAATTTGTTGCGTGAGCCTGTTGCAAGGTCCAGTATTATTATCCTATGGGGTGTCTAGTCTCGCCTTGCCCGCCCCAGGACAGGCTTGGCAAACACGAGTGAGTAACCGTGAGCCAAGAGTCTCGAAATGAAACCTCAATCGCAAGGCGGCTCGGCTTTTTCACCGAGAAAACTACACTCTACACCTGCAAAGTCCTTCGTTTGACCGTTGTCCATTTCTTGGTAGGGATTGGCGATAGTGGATAGTAAAATCGTAACTTGTAGTAGTGAAGTTGAATCGTCCTTCTTCTCGTTCGTTGCATATGCGAATCGGGGAGCAATCAGAGAGCGTATTTGCCAACCGTCAATTTCAAGAATTTACAAATTGTGGGGCTCCGAAATGGCAACCGGGGCTGTTAATTTTGAATTTCGGTGGGGCGGCGTGCTGTGAGATATACCAGGAGGATCACAAGTACCCAGTTTTGTTACTACCGAAGCTAGTATATAAATTGTCTGATTTTCGGGGTTTATTCTGTCATACCGTTAACCAGATCGATTTTGGCCACTGAGGGGAACTGTCAATTTTGCCTCCCGAAACTGTCAAGTTTGAAGTGTCAATAGTTGAAATTGACGGTTGGCAAATACGCTCTATTTGAAAGAAGATCGAGTAGGTAACTGTAGGCGCACGGTGGTAATGTGAGAAGGTCAATAAAGTGAAGTATCAGGTTATGTATTTCATATATGGAAAGATATGGTTTCGACGTAAGAGGTGTGACTGTGGGCTCAAGAGTGATTGGACTGAGCACGGAGAAGATGTTTCGCTAACCATTTTATATTAGCGTGGATCTTGTCGAACCTCAATGTTGTGGCGCGTGGCGCTAGCTAAGCCACATAATAGCACTAGAGGCGACGTAATAGTAGTTAGGTAGCTACATGTATATAGTTGATGAAGGCGAAGGAGGAAACGTACATGTAGCTTAGATGGTACGCTTAGTCTTAGGTTTTTGTCTCTATCACTTCTAGACTATCATCCGCTCTACAATAGATTTAATCTGGCTTTTACGTTCATCATCGATTCTGATTCATGGGCGAATTGGACTAGACTCTAGAGGACTACGAGAAACGGCCTGCAACGTGTCGTTATAGGCAGTACTTGGAACAGATGCAACTGTTCTGTTTATTAAAGTATGTAACATGTCGATATCGTACATGCATGATTCCGCCAAACGTGATCACGCGATCACGCTTAGTATGATCTCAATGTATACCCATAGTTTTAGAATATCTTATGATTGATCAACGACTTCTACAAATCCAGGGCTTCAAACTCTGACAATATAAATACACGGATCCCTCATATAAACTATGAATAACAGTTACCACATTGATTGTGGTATAATGCCAATTCTTAATTTGATCGATACGGTGATTCCGAGGTTTCAGTGCCTAGAGCGAACAGTTTGACAGGAGCCATTTACGATCAGTGGAGAACGTGGGGTGTTCTTATCCTGGGAACTTTCTTTTACGGAACTGTTTTGTGAGGATCCATCTACAGGTTTGTGGTAGTGTTGAGGGTTTTGAGAAGGAAATAAGTTTGCATTATGGTGCATAATGTTGGGTGGCAGAGAATTGTTCTCTTGTGGATTTTGTTTTGTGGGGCTATTCTGTGACGGTCCGTTTCCAGGTACTTGGTGGTATTGAGAGTTTTGAAGAGGTTCTTCCGGAGGAATTATGTTTGCATTATCGTGCATATTACTAGTGGGCGGCAGAGAATCGTTCTCTTGTAGATTTTGTTGTGCGAGGCTGTTCTGTGAAGTTCCATCCCTAGGACTTTGGTGCTCTTGGTGGTTTTGTGAGCGTATTTTAGGAGGAACTGGGTTCGAAGAACTGCGTATATTTCTGAGTGGCAAAGAGTTTCTGCGATGAATAGCAGGAGACCGTCTAATATTAGAAAGCGGACGAAGTGGCGATGGTCCTCGCACACTTGGCACATTACGTTTTTGGGTTGGCATATGGTACTTTGGTTTCTCCTCTCGTGGAGCAAAGCCCCCCACCTGTCTTCGAGGAAGTAGTGGAGCGGATGGCAAAAATGTTTTGGGGCCATTTCCGGAGTGGAGTGGGTATGTGTCAACCGAAACATACGGAAAATTGGGATCTTGAATACCCCCGGGAGGCATTCCTAGTAAAGGCGGCGGTAATTGCAGTTCGTAGGGAGGTGTTGGCTGATTTACAGTGCTTCCAACTTGTTGGCCTACGTCCGGGGGACCAGGCGGTGCCAGATCAAGCGTAGGCAAGTTGAGGTTTCTCTGATCCGTGGTAGGATACATGTGAACTATGTTCTGCGGGAAGAACATATTAGTAAGGATTTGAGAATTTATTAAATTCAGGTCTTACGGGAGCGTTATCAATGTCCATCAATGGTTGTTGGTCTAGTTTTGGATTGATCCCGTCTAATATAGCAACAATATCGTGTTCGGTGTTTGTGTAAGGACGATTGGAGCTGGGGGGACTCCGCAATACCTAGGAGAACGTAATGTTAGACTTTCATAATGCTCATTTGCGACAAGGTTTACGGGAGTATAGGTGAGTGGCCGAAAATCTTACAGGTCGATTTTCAATGAATTGACCTAGCGAGTTCACATAGGCGGACCTCAAAAGTGGACGTTGTATAGACATATGACCGTCTAGCATAGCTCTTGCACGATCTGCTGCAGTTCCATGAGTAAGAACATCAATAAAACAACGCAATCCTGTAGCCTCCGCGACCAGTCCAATCCTATCTTGTAGCAGATCTCTAATCCTGGCATGGCACAACGAGAGAATTGCGTCCCTCCCAGATATCTCTTGCTCCAATATTTGAATTTTTTTGTCTTTTCGGATTAATTCTTCGTTCAGTGCCAATTGTACCCGTAAAGAAACCGATTCTTGCTCTTTTTCCAGTATCTCTCTTTTTAATTTCTCGATTATTGCTTCATGTTTAACTACTTTTCCGATGGTTGGAAATTTGTGGGGTTTTTGCTTTGCAGAAATATGTTCCGTTCTTTCTTTCTTAGGATTTAGCAATTGCAAATCGAGACCTTTTTGGACCCAAACAGCGTTCTTTGGGTCAAAAACGCTCTCTACGAGAGATTCAACGGTTACCTGTGCTTTCGAGGCATTGTTCCTATCCCCTATTCTCGCTTGTAGATGTCCCGGAGTGACCATATTGCCTTTTACCTTAATTAGATCACCGCCTCTTTCCTGGAGCGTTTGATATTTCCTGGATATATCTGCAGACTGCGTTTGTACTTGCTGCGTTTTCTGCCCGGTTGGTGTATCGGTATTGGATTTGACTTGGTTGTCCCTTGTGCGCAATGTATTCTCATGTTTCGATCGATTTTCAAAGAGTCCCATGCTGTGTTTTGACTCTTGCTGCTGTTCTTCTGAGGGCGTTCTATGCGTCTTTGTGATGTCACCTTCCGCACCAACAGTATTTAACTGTCGCTGAAATGTATTGTCTAGCGGCTTGACTCCTTTGGGGTCTGTACCTTTGTGTTGAACTGGCCCGGGGGGAATCGGGGTTGTAGATTTCTTTACTAGGGGAGGCCAGCTCCAGACGTTCTTCTCAGGTCCTATTTCCCTTTTTACTTTGCTCTTTAGAGTTGTCGCGTATGTATTGTCTAGCGGGTTAGCTTCTCTTGCGTCTGTACCTTTGTGTTGTACTGGCTCGGGGGGGATTGGGGTTATAGATTTCTTTGCTAGGGGAGGCCAGCCCCAGACGTTCTTCTCAGGACCCTTTTCCCTTATCCCTTCGCTCTTTGGAGTGGGGTATATAGTATCTAGCGGGTTGACTTCTTTGGCTTCTGTAGGTTTGGATTGAACGGGTTCGACGTGAATTGGCGTAGTGGATTTGATAAGCGGGGGGCACCTCCAAAGAGTTTTTTCAGGCCCTGTTTCCGTTTTCCCCTCACCGTCTATAGTGGATTTAGTTATACTTGAAAATATCTTGCTGCCCTTTGGTATTATAATAGATAATATTTGTGATTTTTCTGCCTCCGGTTGCTTTATGTTTTCTATAACTTGGGCTTGGACACTTGTTGCCTTCTTAGGTGCTTTAGTTTGTATCTCCTTTGCCCCTAATCTACCCCCAGCTTCGTAGTTTGAAATGATAGAAGCCCAATCCTTCTTTTCAAGAACTTGTGAGTTTGTCTGCCTGGGGGGCATTTCTTGCCTCTTAGCCTGCTTTTCTAAACTCCGTACTTCAGACAAGGGCGACTTCTTGGATCCACTAGACTCTAGTTACAGTGTATATTAGATTTGGAGCTTGATAACGATCTTTCAAGTAACTTACCTTTGGTAACAGAATCTGGAATATTTTCTTTAGTTATGTCATTCCTCAAAATTGTCTCCTTCGCCTCCTGCTTTACCTCAACTCTCAGAGGTTGATTAGACCTTCGCTCCTCAAGTTTCTGTGTCGTCTCAAATGATTTTGAGGTCCGTAATGTATTTTCTGGAGGCTTAGGCTCATCAGAAAGCTTGGGAGTCTCAGAAGGCTTAGGCTTCTCCGAAAGCTTAGGATTCTCAGAAGGCTTGGGTTTCTCCGAAAGCTTTGGATTCTCAGAAGACTTAGGCTTCTCCGAAAGCTTAGGATTCTCAGAAGGCTTGGGTTTCTCCGAAAGCTTTGGATTCTCGGAAGGCTGAGGCTTCTCGGAAAGATTGGGATTCTCAGAAGGCTTGGGTTTCTCAGAAAGCTTGGAAGTCACAGAAGGCCTGGTCTTCTTAGAATGCTTTGTGTTTTCTGGAGGCTTGATATAATCAGAAAGCTTTGTATTTTCCGGAGGCTTTGGTTTCTCAGAAATCTTTGAATTCTCAGAAGGTTTGATATTCTGAGAAGGTTTATTATCCTCCTGGGGCATGACGTTTTTCGAAGACTTGTCCTTAGTCTTCCGTTTATCTGGCCTTGTTACCAGCTTCCAACCACTTTCAGTAGAATATGAGTCCTCGAAGTCCGATAATATTTCCCATTGATCCTCTTCTTCTTTCATGTGCGTTGGACGCGATCCCGTTGGCGATTTCCCCAGATCACGCTCAGTTTCCTCACTCTTCTTAGGAAATAAGACTTGGCGAGGCCAAGTAGGAGATGCAATAAAGACAGTATCAAGTTCTTTCCCCTTTACTGGTGTTCCTGCCGACCGCTGTGGTGACTTCAATTTCCCTAGAGCTCTTTCATCTTTCTTCCTGAAAGGAGATAGGGCTTTGCCCAACCCATCGATGTCGACCTTCTGCTCTGGCGTACCTGTCGTGTGAAACAACTTACGGCCCTTAAACTTAAGAAATCGTTTTTCGTTATTTTTTGCATCAAGGGGAGAGGTATCAGGCATGGTATTCGTTATTGAAATTTTCTTCTGACTCCCTGTCCTGTGCTGAAATTCTGCCGATGCTTGCTTCCTCTCTCTAGTAGGATACCTGGTTGGTGTGGATGCTTGCTTTCTTTCTTTAGGGTGCCTTGTTGGTGTCGATGCCTGCTTCCTTTCTTGGGGATACTTTGTTGGTGTTCTCTTGATATATACCTCAGTTTTGCTATTTTTGACTGAAAGAAAGCTTTTAGGACTCACAAGTCTAGGAGAGCAATCGGTCATTACTGCGGTAACGCCCACGGCTGTTGAAGCATTAGATTTCCCGTTTGTTCTTTCAGCCAGAGAATTTACACGCTGTTTCTGTTCTTTAGCATCTCCTTTTGGCCGTTCCATACCCAAGGCCCTCTCTTCTTCCTGTTGCTTCAGAATAAGCTCTTTCTCTAGCTCATCCCAGCGGGTGGAGAATGAATCGTCCACGCAGTCTTTCTCTTCCGGCCGCGAATGCAGCGACAGAACTTTCTCTTCTTTCTTATTTATTACCAAATGATTATCTTCACTTGAGCCAGAGACTTCGGTTTCTAAAGTGTCGATAGGCTTACACTTACCTCCATACCCGATTTCGTCGAAGTCATTCCGTTCTAGTACTGCTATTTGAGTTTCAGTCGCGATGGAATCAACTTTGCGTTTTGCATTCCTTCCAAACGTAGTAGACAATGCCGATATCTTACCCATCTTTCGGGTATTTGATATCGGGTAAATATCTACCTTGGATACTTTTGTTGATATTTGTTCCGTCTCAGTAAGCATTGCATCAATCATTCCTGACCCTAAACATACACCGCCCGTCTTTAATAGGATTGGTGTATCATGATCGAGCTTTCCGGCCCCAGGGATTCCGGTCCTAATTATCACCTTTTCGGGAATGCTTTCAAGGCGAGGAGGGATAGATAATTGGTCGACCACCTTCGCAGTAGCGGGCTGATTTGATGTCTTCTCGTCTTTGTTACTGATTTCCGTCAAAATATGAGACGGCCCTACATCTCCTGTCTTACAGTTGAACTTTGCCCGATCGCCATTTTTCTTTTCTATGTCTTCGTCTTGTTTCTGGTCGGCGTTGGAAGTCGGTTTTGATTCTCTTGAATTATCCGCACTCGAAAGCGCCATTGTTTTACTTATTTCTCCGGTCTTAACCTCCAGGGCGTTTCGGACACTCGATAAAAGGTTATTTATTTCCAAGTCTGCTGGTTTATGTACGTCATTCACAAGGGTTCCAGACATATTGTTCCGGATTTCTTCTCCCGGATTTGGAGATGGAATTTCGGAATGAACCTGAATTTCTTCGTCGTTACACTGCTCAGTTTCTTTGGCCACAGGTTCGCTAGTTGCAAGATGCTTCGAACCCCCTTTCCGTCCTTTCTTCTTAGACTTCTTTTTGATCTTTATGTCTTGTAGGAGAACGTTCAAACCAACCAAAAACGCTTCTATATCCTGCGACACCTCGGTGACTTGATCTAGTACCCTCATTGGTCCCTGCTCATTAAAGCAGAGAATAAATTTCGTGGGCGACAAGAGCGTAGTGGTGGTTAGAGCAGCCCAAAGGTATCCGACACAAATTAAATTCCACTTGACATAAGGGACAAACTTGGCATTGTACCAAAAGCTCAGAATTTCTCTGCTTCTAGGGTGTCGACAATCTTTCACCTGCTGGAGTAGAAACTTTTGTACTGATTGCCTGTCCTTGATACCCATGACGGGAACAACTTCATTATTCTCAACATTATATCGAAACAGAAGGTCGATTTGGTGATCAACACAGAGAGAGATCGTAAAGATGAGGCGCCTTATGTAATTCAGAGTGCGGTTGAAATTGGTAGGGCCACCCTCCTGAGCAAAGCGATGGAGACGGAGCTCTAGAATGTCTGCCCCATATGAAAAACAAGTGATAGCATCTTCCAACTTGATGTCTAGGGCGTGACGAAAACGAAAATTATTGATTTGTTGTTGCCATCCGCTTAGGGAGAGGGCGCAGCCCGGTGCAATAGAAGCATTTCCGCAAGAGTTCAGATATGACCATGTGCGCGCGCCTAGAAAGACGTCATCCTCAAGGCTCGTATTATACAAAAATATATCCAACCAGTCTTCAAGCCACTGAGCAGTTCTCTGGCTGCCAATAACATTCAGAGCTTCTTGTATTCCCAACTCTATCATTTGGATGATCTCCCCACACTGTGAACTTTCGATACGTCGTTGAGAGTCACCATTCTCCCATTCTACCTGCGTAATCCAAGACTGCCATTTGGCCTGTATCTCCCATTTAACGATCAATTCCTGCTCTTGTTCCGTATAGTTCCCCCACAGATCGGAATACGGAGGCTGGGAGATAACATCGTACATTGCTCCAAAGGACAAATGGAATATATCGGATAATCGCATTCTCCTCCTCTCGGTAGCTGGCAGCTTACGCGACTCAAAGTAATAATCACATCCTTGAATATGTAAAAGATGAAGTTTACTAGCTTTGTCCATTCGGGAATAAAAGTGACGTGGCAGGATACTTCTTGCCCAGCTATCGTTGTGACAGTCACCAGTTCGTGAGTATCGATACCATTGATTGATAAGATATGTGGGCTCTAAATATTTCTCATCTTCAGGTCGAGGTTTGAGACCACTGGGTTCATTCGGAATGGTCATATCCGCCCTGTTATTGTGAGTAGGTGACCTATCATCAGAGAGAGTATTTGAAAGAACTTTCATACGATATAGGATGATATTGATATTTTAACTCTGAGACAAAGAGATTTGACTTGATGATAGTATAGAACCTCCTATGCGAACTGTTGAGAATAGGAAATTTGGAACGAGAACTCCAAGCTCGGTATCGATGATATAGTTATTCGAACAAAGTTTTCCTGAAGTTGTAAAAGGTAGAATGACCTAGGGGAGAAGGATGTATTCGCGCATTGGGACCCGGGAGTGGGTGGACTGGGAGTTGTGAGTTACGTTATATCTGTCTTATAATCGTTCTCTAGTGCGTCGCGAACACCGTGTCACGTTTCATGTACATGTACATGTATCTTCATTACATGTAAGCTATCGACCTACGTTGCCACATGTAAATGTTTATAGAAATATAACAAGCACAAGCATTCGATGGCTTCCCTATGATATTATTTCCATAATGAATCGGATAACGTACCTATTAAATAAGACATTAAAGAATACATGCACTTTTGTTCTTCAAAAAAGTGATTAACCGTCATGATATCGGGTAGAGAGCTAGCATGTTTGAGCCTGGACGAGGTACCTAAACTTCAAAGTGGCCGGCCGCATGTGAGATCTAGGCCCAATGAGTGTTTAAATGATCATGTGATCCTCTTTACTGATGATTTCTGGAATGTTCTGTTAACACTTTAATTGCTTTTGGAAGGGTGTCTCCACAAGGGAATTGTTCGGTTCCCATGTATTCTCGCGGTCCGTCAGCGTCGCCAGATGTAGCACTGCTTCGGATTTCCGTGTGGCCTGGGTCGTTCAACTATCTTGGGCCTGTTCATATCAGGTATTGTGAATGTAGAATATGTTTGACGTCTTATATAATTAGAAATGTAGTTGCGGGAGATCGAGAGGTGAGGTGAGGTCAAACCATACTCGACAAATCCTAACCCTAGATGCTAACTACATACATTCGTTAATTAAACAAGCAAACAGACTTCTCTCCTAACGTACTCGGACCTTACACAGTGTGTAGAGTATCTTGTCAGAAGTTCCATCCGACCGGGGAGCGTTCCAGTTCACCGTTCAGAAGTACTTATGTAGAAGACTGCTAGGCACTCAGAGACAGAAAATGAACAAGAGGAAATTAAAGAAACAAAGTGAGCCCCGGCCCCGACCCCCGCGGTGCAGCGCAGGGGAAGAAATACCAACTAAAACGCTGATTCTGATAAGCGGGCAGGCTCCTCCCCGCGATAAATCGCTACATGTATCTAGTTCACTTGTTTTTGCGGGAGATGGGTTTCCTGGCGAGCAAGATTTGGGGCGGGGTGGATTGGAGGGTGGGGGCGGGGGAAGCATATATGCTAGATACATATACATATATATATATATCGATGCTGGATACCTCTGGAGCATGAAGGTAGTCTCTTCATACTGATCCCGAGACTTTCAGTTCCCCTCATTCTGTGAGCAAGACCGGGACTCTCTATATCGAGCATATCCTACTTTAATTCTTCAGGTAGATTAGTGTAACCACAAGCCACATTAATTTACAGTTAAACTACATGATCTACATTGATTCCATATATAATAATATGAAACTTTTATCTTAACCCGCCAAGACGCACTAAAAATTCATTTTGACCCATACAGACTTTATTACTATTATGACGTCTATCTATCTGAAAGGTATCCCTATTTTACCTAACCCCTCCTTGCCCTCGAAATCCGGGAGAATCTTTTGAAAACTTATCATCCGTACATGGCGGATGTGTTTTCCCACCCCAAGCCTAGTTATCACTTTGGATACCACCGACTCTCAAGCTCCTTCTATACCCCTCCCTCTGCTTTGCCATGCGGGCATCTAGAAGGCTCAATCCTCCCTTCTTCTTCCTCGACCAGCTGCCGGCTTTTGGTGTTGAATGCTCGGGTGTCAAGAAATGGTTTTGCTGACCGTATGAGGCATGTGGACCGAAAAGTGGGAGATGCCCGAGTGGTGTCTGTACAGGGGACAAAGATTGCCTGAATACGGGCGGTTGGAAAGCTTTCTTCTGTAAACCTTGCTGCTGAAGGGCCTGTTGCTGAAAATGTTGTTGCTGCTGGGACTCTTGGTCATAGGGACCTCGATGATCATGAAGGAGACCTTGATAACGTGACCTTTGGTGATGCTGTGCCGACTGCTGAGATTCCACGTTGTAAGATAGTGCGTACAAGGCAGAGCCTAGAGCCACTGGCGGCTTGGTTTTCCAGAGGTTGTTCTTCTCGATATGGGAGTTTCTCCTGAGAATACTATCAATCTGAAGAATGGGACCGCCTAACGCCTCGAAGGACTTATTGAACTGGTCGATCTCAAGGCGCCAGTTAGGGAGGCCTTCTTTCAGATAAGGTGACGGAGGGTACCCCGGAATATAGTCAACGGTCATCCTCGGTGGCCAGCGCGTAGGTTGAAGAGGATAGTACGTCCCAGTGTATCCTTGGATAGGAACAGGAGGTAAGATAGGATGCCTATGGTCAGGGCTGATCCCGTCAGCAGAATTGAGTCGTCTGAGAAAGGCCGCGGCAGTCGATTGGGGTTGAGGATGATACATATCCTGAGGCCTGATTGTGGAGAGTTTGATAGGAAACGGGGCGTGCTGTGGATACTGAAACGTTCCCTGAGACAGGTTATAGTTCCGCTCCGGCGAGGAAAAAGCGTTTCCAGGTTGGGTATACGCAGAGACCCCGGGGCGCTGATTTCTAGTATTGGGACCCAAAATACTGTCCAGCCTGACTGGTGTTTGAGCAGTCCATCCAGGACGAGGTTCCATGAATCTCGTTTCCTCTCCTCGGGATAAGAATCCTAAATCTTCCTGCTTGATCTGCCCGAGCGCCGGCCCGAAATCGTGATGAATTGGGATTCCGTCATGATTGGAAGCGGTTAGAGCAGTATCTTCCAGTCCATTTGGTGTCTTCACGATGGAGTCAGTTTCGCCTCCAGCTCTCGGTTTATCACCCTCTTCTGACGAATCTGGTCTATGGTAGGTTAGTAATGAAATGGAGTAAATGGAGCAAAGTATATGTACATCATCTCAAATTCAATAGCACCATTGCTGTCGATAAACATCCATTGAGCAATCTCAGGGAACCAGTTTGCAGTGGGATCGAGAGACTGAACGTGTTCTGGGGTTGGGTTTGAACGTTCGAGATGCATCTTGCTGTATTTGATGAAAGGTGATGACCTGACGTTGAGGTGTTGCGGTTGTGGGGAGCTCCTGTAGAAGCGGTTTAAGCTGGGGCTTCACCACTCGCACTCGGCATCGGTGGGAGTACCTACGGTGTAAATCCCAGACAACGGTAGCCAAGAAATAACTTAAAAGTTGCGCGTATTGCTGCGTCATAAGATATCACGCGAAATAAAATAGATGTAAGGTGTGTGTCACAAGGTTTCCAAATCCTTGAAAATCTACTCGGCCTACTACCGGACAGAACGAAGCCTGCAGGGAGACCCTCTTCCAAGAACTCTATTATCCGGCTTTTCCCTTGGTTATAGTTTGGTGTAGTTGTCGAACTGTTTCTCACCAGGTCAGCACCTAATCTTTACTGTTTTCAAATGCGTTGTCCAAGGGGTCTGAGGCTCTGCGGCATTCCTATTTCTTTATACCAACATTTTAACTCGCTTCTGGATTCCTTATGGTACTATAGATATTAAATTCCTCTATGAGCTAATACTACCCTAGAATTTGGTGGTAACTTGTGTAGAAAGCGATACGCACAGTATGCTCTCGAATAATTCTCGACTCTAGTGGAGGAAAAAGTAAGAGGATATGAGATGTAGGTGGGTGGTCATAGAAACACACGGAGGAAATGCATTAGGCGTTTTGCAGCAGTGTACTAGTGTCTTCCCCTTCATCAATATACATGTAGACACGTTATAAAAACTAGGGAAAGAACAGTAGGGGTGGGGGTTGTACATGTAGCGTACAAGACATTATTTTCCCCGCCTCCGAGGCCTTATCCCGGATCCCAAACTACCGGCGTTATCCACGGCTCCCGTGAGAAACTTGTCGCCTCAACCGTGGCGACCGCTATTCAATACATATAAAGTAGCCTTCATTATCTCAAAATATATGTGATATATTGATGGTTGATCCTACCTCAGTGGGGGTAGAGTACATCAAACAGTAGTTTTTTCCACCGAGTACTCATGGTCAAGGGAATGTATATCGTGGTATATCGGTACTGATTGAATTCTTAAGAGATCTAGAATTGAATGATTAGTATCGATTCGTGGTATGATGAATAAAGAAAGGGTGTTTGCTTACACCTCTTGATCGCGAATTCCACGTTCCGGTACCGTTCCACAGCTTCCAGCTCCCAGTCGGTAAGAATCCAAGACAAATAGAATGTAGATAAATGTACATCTTATATCCAATGACATCTTGATCGACTCACCTCCAACCTTCACGACCGCTACCCTTCTTTCTTATCAACATTAACCAATCAGGAGGAATCTTTTCAGTGTCAAAGGGTGAGATATACCCTCGCGTCAGAATCCAATTTCAATAGAATCCAAGCTGTAACTTGATGTGGCGGACCAAACCAGTGGCAATTGCAACGATAGGATTTATTTTTGTTAGTTGTCGAGATAGAACATATGGAACAAAATACCACGTGCACTAGCAGTTGAACTGAAGGAACTTAGCAAACTTCCGAGTACTTGAGAGAGAGAAAAATCTTTAATCAAGTTTTGAGTGTTTAAGTTCTTTTTTTTTAGGGTGTCATAGAACAATATATCACTTTTACTACTCATTGAAAAGAAAAGGTCAAGAAGAAAGCTCTGTGTAGGATGTCAAAGAAATGATATATGTGAACACGATAGGAATGCGTTAACGGTGACCCGCTTTCGTCACTCTACTAGTAAGTTGGGAGAACATAGGCTGCGGGACCGAAGGTAAGTACATGTAGCATGCACACTTCGCAACCATCGAGTTCATTTCGACTGCATGCCGGAATAAACAATAATATGAGCAGATAATATATATCAGACGTTCAATAGCCCAAGCATCATCAAGATTATTCTTTAGATCTAGATTTCATAAACCACTGAAGACATGCAGTTAAGTACATGTACCGTGAGCTCTCGAGATCAACCCGCCAAAAACATCTCAAGCAGCCCATATATTATACATGTATGATTCCTTGATTGGCCCGAGCATGTGTACCTCCCAAATCACACAGTTTATACATTTAGGTTAGCTACCTTTACAAAATGTATTAAAGGCTTTATAAGATCTCCTCACAACATGTGCTTCAGAACATGCTATGGGTAAGCTATAACTATACATGTACATATGGCTTAGATCAGGTACTGCACGTATGTCTCTGCTTCCCGGCCCCGCTCTATATATATACATGTAGTAAGAAATAAGATTTTCTTAGACTTGAAAAGCAGCTGGCACGGTGGATTTCTTCCACGCATGAGATAAAAGTCTACTGACACTTAGGTTAATCATACCTGCTGCCTGCCTATTAGTCAGAGGATACTTTTCTCCTCAAGCTTCCTCCTGATCACCTGTGACGAGAAATAATTAATACGAGCACCCGAACACTATCATGGCTCCTAACCCTCTACCACCTCCTGGTCACCTATTTACCACTCAGCCTTCTAACGGACTCTATATTTACCATTCGCTGATTATTACAACGTTCATCTCATTTCTCATCCATCTGGGACAGAATTTACTCTACTCCAAATATGTATTTCTTGCAACCTATATCCCACAATATTACTTTCATCCATAAGATGTCAGGTTGTCATAGAAATATTCCAGAAACCAGCCTCAAATTTTCTCAAAACCCATCATGTCCATATGTAGTATCAGTTCGCCCTCAACATACCGATGGTATATATGAAAACAAATTTCTCAACCCTACCGAAGGGACCGATTTTATCCAGCTTTTAAAGATCCATATGAACCTTGATGTCAACCTCATAGCCCTCGAAGGCCCGGAGAAACATGGCCCAGCATGGGAGAGATAGGTCGACGTATATATCAATACCTTCGTGAGAATGACATATTGGTCTGTTGAACAAAGAAACGTTGTTGATTTTATGAGACTATACGATGTAACATTAATTGCTACCCTGATAATTATTCCCATAGTGGAAAAAGACTATCAGAGCTAACCCTATATATACCCTTCCACGTTTAAAAGCATTAATGATGTCTTTAAAAGAGCCGTTCTTTCACTTAGTCGTTGGCTCAGACTCAAGGCCGCCTATGAGAACGGGCTTTTTAATCCTCATAATCCCAACCACACGGTTGTCAACATTCGTCGTCAGCCAACATTCGGAGAGCTATTCAGGGGACTCCTCATTCTTTATCGATATTTCAGAATCTGGGAGGTGACTACTAAAAATCAAGCTCCCCCAAGCCTTATATGGCGAACAAAACGTCTCGTTTCATTCAATGGTATTACGGCAATCCGGTCAACGCACACAGTCTCAGCGATGTCCGATATTTCGGTATCGATGCTTACTCGACCCCTCAAAATACCTGTGAAGATAGCATTACTTTTCAGAGCATTAAGCGTAAGCGCGCTTCACGAGAACTCACTATTGCAAAATGTTTGAGAGATGCATGCCGCACCAAGGCGCCCTCGGCCTTGCGCTCACAGAGAACATCCTCCCAGGATTCTTTACCGAAATGGCTCCCTACTTGGGTAATCCTGCTTTGCAAAACATTTGATAAGGACTCTTTTCCACTTGGAGACCAGGGTGCGAGTATTGACTCCACTCATTAATTTCCCGAAGACGATGATAATGAGTCGCCGCGTCGTAAACGCGTGAAGATCGATTATACCGTTAATACATCTCATTGGAGGTTTGTCGTCAACTGGGAAGGTATCCATGGATATAAAGCTTTCTACAATCCGGCAACGTTAATGAAGACTTTGAAGGGCATCCTTAACGTCAAAAGTAACAGCGTCAAGAGATATTGTAAAGACTCCAAAGACAAATATAGTCTTATCAGGGACACTGATGACTTGAATAATGATCAAATGGATATATTGTCTCATGGAAATTCCGCCAATAAAAGATTACATGAACTAATTGCGAGTGGTGACATTGGTGTGTATATCGATCGAACGCTGTTCTTTGCCCTCATTAAGTCGTAGGCACCGAAGCTCGAAGTAGCCGTTGACAGACGCTGATAACACTCTAAAAGGCCAACGCACCAGTACAAACATTATGTTCTCCGATCATAAAGACACATCCTCTAATAAGATACATGCCGGACACGTCGATCAGACTGATAATAAAACCTTCCCGTGGTCCCTCTCACCGCGTCATGCACACCTGCTGTTCGAAGATATTTCGACGTTCAACCAAAACATGGCTCCCAATGAAAACAACATGCGGGGTTCCGAGGATATTCCCTTGGATGTTTTGGATCAGGACCTATCCGACCCTCCTAGCCAACCTAAGAGTTCTCCAGAACTGAGCTCTGTCAATTCTCCAGAACTGAGCGCTGTCACGTCTCCAGAACTGAGCACTGTCAGTTCTCCAGAACTGAGCTCTATCAGTTCTGGAGAACTGAGCTCTTTCAGTTCAGAAGCCGTCTATAGTGATAGCGAAGATGGTTTTAATACGTATAATCCTAGGGGCATCCGGGATTGGACACGTGAAATGAGTATCCCGCGTGAAGATAGTGATGAGGAAGACGACGCGAATGGGAGCCTTCCTGGGCGCCTTGAGCCTTCCATCGACTCAGAAGAGGAGGAGCATGAATTTATGAGCGTCCGAGAAGGGAAAAGACCTGCGCGTACCACCAATCCCATCGTGCCTAATAGACAAGGAGATTCTGGTAGTAAGGCAGTTGGTAGCCGTGAGTCGTCTCCTAGGAATTCCGATGAGGGGTCCGGATCCGCAGATAGTATCTACAGATTCGCAACTAGTCACATGGATTACCGTAACTCGGAACGTCTGGACTACGTCTACATCTACTGCCGAGATCCTCCGAGCTTTCTCGATTTCGTCCACTTGCTCTATGTAAAACATAGGGTAGACGGGTTTAAAAGGATCTACAGAGTCAAAGTGATTTTAAAGGGGGATTTTATCAACTTTCGCGTCGGGAGGATTAGTTGTCAATATGAATGGGAAAAGGTCCTGAAGATTATGGACGAGGAAAATCTGCAGGCCGAGGTGCTATACCGTACAAGGGAGGAAGAGAGTGAGATTATGACAGATGCCGTGCCCGAAGCCGTCGTTCCCGAAGGCGCCATATCCGAAGCCGTCATACCCGAAGTCACCATGCCCGAAGTCCCCATGCCCAAAGTCGAGCAGGCCGACAGAAGTCAATTCTTACTTACAATGGAAAAGTTTCTTGAGGACACTGTCAAGGAGATTGGCACGACCAAGGAGACTATTAGGATCAAAGAAACCGCAGATTCCATCGATCAAGGTCTCAAAATGGTCAAAAAGCTCTTCCAAAATACTATCAAAGTGATCGTCAGACAGGTGGGTGAGCAGGGCTTTAGCCAAGCTATCGACCAAAATCATGACCAGGATATTCAGCAAGGTTCTAGGCGGAATCTCAAGAGGAATGCGGACCAGATTGACGAGGAAGATGTCAAGGAAGACGTCAAGGAAGATTTCGAGCAAGACGAGGAGGAAAAATCAAACATTGACCGCATGGAGGTTGATGATATTTGAGAACTACCGAATTTGTTATTGATTGAATACATGTCTAGTGTATTAGTCTTTGGTAATCGAGGACACTATGTATGTACATGTTCATCCTTTACGAGACCTGAGAATGGGATAAGTAAGAAAGCCCAGTAGGCTACATAGGCAGAGTAAATGTTATTTTTACTACCTATATGTTGATGTCAGAATGAGTAATAATAACAAAATGACATTCTTTCATCCGTAAGTTAAATATTTTTCCAGCAATTATATGAAACTCACTGAGCTCCTATAGTGGTACCCAACTGCAAGAGCCGGCATAGGAGTGATGTATATATCTTGCTGTTTTTCTTGGAACTCTCGATCTCTCGATCACTTCAGTACTCCCCTATGACGGAAACTCTTTTTTTAATCAATATTTAGCTTTAGGTGTGGAATATACATGTGTATAACTGTCATGACAGGGCGTAGACCAGCGGAAGCGAATAGGGCTAGCGAGGCTATCTCTTTTCTCCCCTCCCCCACAGCTGGTTTCGGTAGACCACACAATGCCACAGCACCCGAATTCACGGAACCACGGAACCAGAACGACTATACGTGTACAAACAACCTCACAAGCCCACGAGGCCGGCCGCGTGCATGAGACTTTACTGGCAATGAGGACAGATATATCTGGATCCTGATATATTGTCGAATGGACACTATAGTCACGACCGAAACGAGAAAGATTGACGGTTCTCGGCCCACCACCAAGCCAAAGTTCGTATAAGTTCTTTTCCTAGGGAACTTGGATGTCAATACCTACGGTGATCTATATATGTACGTACGTACCTGTTCTAACGTTTTAATTTGTGAAGCCTCTACGTACCGAAGCGATCTCTATCCACAAGATCGAATGCAATCGATACACAGAACTAATTGAATACTCAGATCTCTAGGTCCAAAATCCAGTTCCATGCACGGCTAGAAGCTTGGGAAAGGCATGGCGGGTCTAAAACGACGTCCAAATGTAGGAGTTTTACTCTCCTTTATGAGTACGTGTTTACAGCCCATCTTATCTCTACCTGGAGTCGGTAATTAATCGCACTCGGTTGCGACTTGTCAAAGGTAAACCGGAACCCGGTATCTTGTACGATGCGGTTCAAGTACAGCCTCGCCGGCAATCCTTTCCTTTGGTTTGATAAGGTGCAGGATTGCTCTATAACTGAGTGCTTTACTTATAGAGGTTACTTTAATTACTAATTCTTTTTTTCCGAGAGTAGAACACGAGCTACAGTCTTAACTAGATTCTCTCTGTACTACCGTAATGACCTTAGACACGCTGCTATCATGATTACTTCGTACCTCTTTATACTCCGGTGGTCCTAATTATTTTCTTTTAGGGATACCGGTATAAGAAGCCTACTGGCACTAGGAAGACCACCGTAGTTCTACAAAGGCGTTCCGCTCTTCCGGCATATATGGACACCCTATTCCCGCATTTAAGAGGTTGCGTTTGGAGGAGCTTTCTAAATTTTTGAATTTACTTGTCTGATATCGCCTCTATCTTGTATTTATATACGTATAAGGAAGTATCGAAAAGGCATCCTGGATGTCCGACTGCTGTAGCGAGATAGGAATTAAACTTAGAAATATTAGATTCTAATCCCTATTAGAAGAATATCCTCGTTTTGCTTCTTGCTTATAATCATTGTATGCACGTTCTTTTTTAATCGTAGATATTTGAAATTTCTATCTAAGCTTCGAGTCCCTTTTGATCGAGTGCTTGACATAGGTCCAACAGGTATATATTAGTAGATATACTTATATATCCGTGCTAACCAGAACCTACATGTACCTGGAGTGTTCACGAGACTTTGGAGATAAGTTACACACGGTTTAATTGAGGCTACTGCTCACGTCATTGGCCCTCCGTGAAGTAACGTACTAATATTCTCCTCCCTCCTCTCTTCTTCTAACTTTGCTCCAACTTGCCTCTCCAGTAACAGAAACCATCGTCAATATATTTCTTTTGCAATCATCCGTACCTTCACCCATATATATCTAGATCCTGAATCGAAACCTTTCTCCCTTTCCATCGTTTCCACTCATCACATTCATAAGATATTTATGGTCCCTTTCTTTACTGCTTCATATCTCTTGATTTCTGCAAGTTATATCACAATCAACTCTTGATAACGCTTCCCTGCTCGGACTTCTTGATTACAATCCCGAAACAACATATCCTCAATTGATCAATTGATCAACCTTCATCTGTTGTTTCACTGACGTTCTCGGTATTTCCACTACTAAGCCCCTCAAAAACAAACTGTCAACAGATCTCTAACCAGTATATTGCTCTAGGATCTCGCACACACGCAATTTAAAACCTATTCACCTTTGAATATAACATATTTCATCTTGCAATTCGAATATAAAAAAAATGTCGACCATCGAACAATCAATGCCTCACACTCAGAAGCACGTTCACACTCTCGAGACCAGGCAATGGGTTGATGTAAAGGCCCTTAAGACGCCTATCTCCGAGCATACGGGACCTCTCCCCGATCAGTCTCCTTCATCGCACGATCCCCCACGGGGAACGACTTTTGAAAGCGATAGTGACTCCGAAATGTCTATTGACGAAGAGCATACAATCCCGGGAGGCGATCATTACCTTATCCCAGCAAGGTTTTCAGGTGTTCCTGTTTTTATCAATCTCACCGCTCATAGTTACATATCTATGCCTTTCGAAGCCACAGATGGCATCCCCTCCCTTGTCGGATTTTCAGCTGCGGATATGGAAATCGGCGGTCAAAAAATACAAGTATTCATTAGGGATCATGGATGCTGGGATGACACTAACGAGATAAGCTATGTTCCGATAGGCGATTCTGGGTCTAAGGTGATCTATGAAAGAATTGAGGACGCTATCAGGGCTTTAGAAGTGTTTTCTACCCAAAAGGAAAGAATACAATTGGACGTCGATGGTATTCACAATGATGAATACCACGATAAAAACGCGGCGATAATGGAGGATTTTAGAATTGAAGAAGCAGCAAAGAAGAAGCAGGATGGGGCGGGAGAGGTAGGCAACGGCGAGAGCGACGAAAGTGATGATGATTATACTGGTAACAATTGTGACGAAGATTGCGGTCTTCATCATGGTATAGGTGAACCTGGTGATGGGGATTGTGTAGATGGTCTAGCGGACTGGGTGCGTGAGCAACACCGGAGTTTAGAGAGACGAATTGACGAGTTGATAATGGAAGCGGCGGGAATTTCTTCCATCATCGTGGATGAATATATGTATGACGGAGCTTTGCAGGTCATCATTGATGAAGACGAGAATATGTGCGATAGTGACGTTTTAGAGGATGGCGCATGGGCCGGGGTGGGGAAGGGGGCAGGAATTGTCGGGGGACATGAAAGAGGACAGGATTCATGATACTAGGAATTCTAAGTTGAAAGGAAGTATCTCGGCGCAAAGTAGGTGGATCCTTTAATTTCGGTATTTCTTTCTTTCCCCCCTTCTCTTTCTTTCTTTAAGCTTTATGACAGGGGATATAGATTATTGGTCTTTATGTTTAGCTCGTGCCAGTTGCAGGTTGGGAGTCGACTACGTGATTTTTTTTTTAACATTGTGGAATATTTTTATGCTTAAGGTGGAACATGGGAAGTAGGAAACGTTGAGGTTTCGGAAAGATTAATTAATTTATTGAGCTATACTAATCTAATCTAATCTAATCACTTGGCATAGTGTTCGCTATGCTTATGACCGTACTACATGTATTGAAAGCAATTCATTTGAAAGCAAGAAAACCCTTTTTCTCACCTTGCTTAAACGTCAGTTCAAGTCACTTTCACAGTCGCACACACGTAACAGAGGGGAAAGCTACTTACAGGTATCGTTCAACCGCACACTTCCCCTCTCTGATCTTGGCACTCAGCCAAACGAAGAAGACTCCCGAAACTCATCTAGATCCCGGCCATGGTTATGCCCAGGTACTTCTTCAGCTGTCGCCTCCGAACTGCCACCACCCCCACAGTCGGCAGACCATAGCTGTTGAGGATGGCATTCACATCCGCCGCTGGTGACAGTCAACAGGCATCCTCCATTACGCAAAGACACGAGAGTGTAAAGTGAGAGAGACTCACAGTTTAGGCGATCGATATCACCGGGAGTCAACAGAAAGTTTGGTACTTCCTGATTGTCCGGTGTCCGTAGAGGACTAAGCCGCGAGTCGGCCGTCGTCGCGAGAGCGCTGTTGGTCAAGCGAGCTACAGCGTTGTAATCCCTATAGTCAGTTAGCCGATAGTCAAGCTATGCAGCGAGAAACACTCACGCGGAAGAGAGGCGGGTGGATATCCCCGCGACTCCTCGCTCCAGAGCACCGAGTCTCTGACCTATATTTCTCAGCTCAACCAGTATCTGAGCCCCAGCATCAAGAGCTGGAATGTTTCCCATCCTCTGCAAGTTCGTCGCCAGAGATAGATGAGAACGAGAAATGACATTCATGACTTCGACCATCGCCGCGAAGTCGGGCTGTTCTTGATCGGGAGCAGCCATGTTTCTGTTCATTCTCGTCAGTAAAGCACGGGATGGCCGGACAAACGAGTACTGAGCCGGCGGGTCCTTTGCAGGGGACCGTGCCATATGACTGTTCCGTCGATGGTGGAGGGGAGATTTCGGTGGGACCCACGATACCGTCTAGGGTAGTGGTTGGTATACGATGTAATGGTTAGGTTCAGTATGGACCATAGTCGGGGCAGGGTAACCGTGTCGCAGGGGTGCCAGACTTGGTAAGTGACACGAGAGTTGCTGGCACATAACCCTAGCCTGTGCCAGGCATGATTGGCTGCGTGCCAGGGATGATAAACCATATGGGAAGTGGATATTCTATCCTTAACAAATTGTCAATGTGCCATGTGCCAGGTTTTCTCTAGGGACGAATTAATTGTACATATTGACTTTCTTCGAAATCCTTGTCCCCATATGTGAAGCAATTATTACTGTTCTCGAAAAGGTTAGCTTCGTGAAACGGTTAAATGCCCTGTTACATATTACGTAATGATTGTAACGCCTTGCCTAATATCCGAGTGATATCTCATGAGTCATACGTATCCTTTTTTGCTTATGATTGATCATTGACGAGAACCGAAACTTAATGGGGACGGAGATCTCAGTATAACCCGAGACTTCGCCTTAACTAAAGAATTCTTTATTCACGATTTAAAACTACATTATTACGACTCAATGTTATCGACTAATTTAAACGCCATGAAATGTCACATACACAATTTTACACAAATATACATGTAACTAGTTGTGTAGATGTAAGAAAGGTTGGCCGTCAAAATGATGTCCCAGAAAGCTGTCGGTCTAGAGAGAAAAAAAAAGATGTTTCAACACACGCATGTAGCTCACCATCAGCAACATACCCCCGGAGGAATTGCGGTAAAGAGGTGTACTTCTCCCAGCGTTCTCTTTGTCCCTTCCGACTTGGCGCTTTACCCAAACGTACAGCTGGTCAAGCTCAGCGGATCCATGTTTCCTAGGCTACCGACATACTCTAGTTACATCCCGTGATAGTCTTGTACCCTTCCCTACGAGCAGCTCGCTGCTCACCGAAGAATCTTACAATAAAATCTAGATCACAAGCATGCATCTCAGAATGCTCAACCGTATCAGCTGGCTGTTGCTGCTGAGGCCTTCATCTACTATCTGGTCCAGGACCCGCTCGGAAGCCGATCGAAAATCCACATCTACTGTGCTTCTTAACTTACGACCATATCTACACACTTAGTACTAGTGACTAAGATCGAGCTCATGGCTCTTTTAAGGACTTAATTGAATATCATAAGGTGTGTAAGGTTCATCTCAGACGTCAAGCTATTTACGGATTACTGATGTTCCTTTATTAATCTTAGATAGGGAGGATGGGGATAGGGGCACATGATGGTTGCTTTTCGAAATTTTCATAAGGTAAATTCACGCCGGAGTCTAGCCATCACACCGTTCTTCAAGCCATTTTCTTCATTTCATCTGATCTTTCTTATTTCATTCGCTCTTGATCTGATAATAGAAGGATAAGCTAATTTCATATTAATGCTAAAGATTCATCCATCTATTTGGTTATACCGATCGGGAACACAAGACAATTTTCATCCCACGGTGGAGTTCATTTCTAAGGATCTTGTCTCTCGTAGGAATACCAACGGAATTAGGAGCGTCCTTAAGGCTGTTTGGAATCGAATACACAACCTACTGAAGTAAGATTTGCTTATTTTCGTTTTATTTCTTTTTGCAACAATGACTGATCAATGTACTATCATAGATATGATATCCCATATCTCTTCAACGTATTGACAGTATCAGGGTTTGGGACGAGTCACAGGCAGAACAACCACCATTCACTAGGCGCATGGCAGCAGGGCCGTTGGAAGTTGGGCTGGCGTCAACGCCAAAAACACCTAGGGGACAGGTCTCTTGCTCCGGCTTAGTTCAATACAGCCGGGCCAAATTTTCTTTTCATATATCCCAGGTGTTTTGTCGGAGGGTCGATTGACAAAATACTTTTGTCTGTTCCACGGCACATAGTTCACCTAGGGCATTAAACTTGCTAACCTAGTCGTATTCAAGGAAGGTTCAGGTACGTAATAACCGCCCTGAGGGACGAGCTACTGTACTAATGTTAACCTGAAAAGTAGTGAGTATACCTTTCTCACCGTCAGGTGTTTTGTAAGAGGGTGGTTTCATCACATTTTCCCCAAGGCACTGTTGTCCCTCCAGCGGAATAGCCTTTCGCAGTGCTATATTCGGCCGTGTGTCTCAAGTGGTCTCGCCGACAGCTTCATGGCTGTAGCCGAGACTACCCATCCTTCACTGGAGACGGTGCAGTTGGAAACTTTGCTGGTTTCAGCGCAAAAACGTCCAGTATATTGGTCGTCTGCTCCGGCTTCGTTCAAGGAAGCAACATTCTTTCCCGCGTTGAATCAAATCCCAGGTGTTTTGTATGAGGGCAATCTCGCAAAGATATTCTGGTGAGCTCCCTTCCAACGTTATAAAATGTCATCTGGGTAATTGACGTTGCGGCTAGCTAACATGGCTGCATGTTCTTCAAAGCAGCAGTGGAGGGCAGACGGGCCTTGACTGGGTGGACGCTGCCGTGACAAGGTCAAGCTGTCAGGTGCTTTGTTGGAGGGTAGATCCACCAAACTAGCCAACAGGTTGAACAACCTTCGCCATGGGACTCGATGCCAGGATCCATGAACAGGCGGCCGAGCCCTCGGGGTTCACACCCGTTAATGCCATCGATCCCAGAGACCGATACTATATACTCAAGGACGGGTGTGCATTGGCCTTCCCCCAAATATAGCCATATATATAACAAGTTCCGAGAGAAGTGAGGAAGGTCAGGACTGTTAGTACCAGTTCCATAGGAGACCAAAAAATCTTATTGACGATGATGATAAGTATAGTAGATTTATTGCCATGGCCTACGACAAGGGAGTACCCACCTCGTGGGTACATAGTGATGATGATTTCATAGTGGAGGAGGATGACCACCCAAAGGTAACGGCACAACGGCGCAGGTGTAGCTTGATACTAATGTTTTGATAGATCAGCCAGTTTGAGGACCTTAGTTCGCAATACCCTGCCTCGAAAACATCAAGGCTCTTGCATGGGACACTATTCTCAACCGGCCAATGCGACAATACCGAGTTCGCAGTACCCCACTCTTCCAGTGGAGACGGTGCGGGTTAAATGGTTATGTTGGTGCCAACGTCGAGAGGTCTAGCATATTAGTCTCCTGCTCCAGATTGTGGACCACCTTAGTGGTTCAAAATGTTATCGATAACATTCTGTGAACAATGGGAGCCAACTGATCTAGCATGATGTTAGATCTTTGCGGGATCTATGTAACCCAACATGACACTACTACTAGGCCCGGAAGGTGGACTGGGGTGGATTATCTGACAGGGATAGAAGGCAAAATTGGAGCGAAGAGCTCAATTTTCTCTTCTCGACAGCAAGGACAGGGAGATATTAATCATTTCCCAAACACCTTTGGGTGTGGGCTTGGGGGGGATATTGGAGACAGTTCTGATCTCGATGACGAGCTTGATGAATAGGAGGAGTTAGGGGGAATCTTATGATTATGTAATTACTACGTAGTTGGGAAGAATGAGAAGTTTAGTTCTATTATCTTGAATTCTCAAAACTAGTTTTCCCTTCTGCCACTTCTAGCTTCTCCATTTTGCATTTTTCTGTTTTGTAAGTCTTAGGTAAATATAGCGCCGTATGTGTTGCCTGGTAAATATGTATTACATGTAGTAACAGAATCTGGCCAAAAACTCCAGCTAAACATGCTATATATATAATGTCTGCTCCAAGAATACATTATTCGAGCCCGTAAGGAAAAAGAGAGCGCTACTCCCAAGTTGTCTCCCTTTTATTCTCGGTCGGGACAGACAGGAAGTACCGCCGCATACCTATTTTTATTGTACATGCGGGCCCGGTTCAACCGGCCGCACAGGCCGATGCCATCAAGCCCAACCAAAGAACCATTGATACATTTGTAGCCCGTGGAGAGTTGAACCTAGCTCGACAAATTAGGTTAACCTCTCAAATAACCTTTGGCTATCCCGGTGCAGTCAGATCCATATCTCTTCCCGCACTCTACCATTTATGATACACTAACCCAAACCACCACTAACTTGCCAAGATCCTATACGAGTGCTTGACGATGACCGAGTGATGTTCATGACCGAGTGACCACTCATGATTTCACCCTTTGTGGCGGGTAACGAACTCATCTAGCTCCGGAATGTTATATATATAATCGTTCACATGCACAGAGATCCTGCGTGTGAGGAATTATGAGGGATGGCTACCAAAGTCAGCTACATTGCATATTCGAACTATTGGATAAACATGTACTCGAGTACAGTCTTTGTCAAAGATTTAAATTTCACCTGCAGCTGGCTCTCGTTTGAAGTCTTTATTGCGGATTTAGTAGGTGGAGCTTCGGAGAGCGGAACCACGTGAAAGTCCGTGGCAAAGATATGCCAGTAGTATTCGTAGATTTTCAACTCTATTTCCCAAGCAGAGTTACTGCAATATTAACGTGCTAAAGTAGGATGTAATATGAAATGTGGCGAACATACAGGCTCCCCTATAGGACTTGAAAATAGTGGATAACGTCTAGGTAACGAACCAAAACTCAATATCCTGAAAGATGCAAAATTCGGTGACACAGTTTAAATGTATTAGTGTATCGAAGCTAAAACTGATTACAATCTGTCTGAAGACAAGCTAGCTGTGTTCTCAGATGGAATAGTAATCTGGAATTATTTTTTACTCCTCGAGTCCTCCTATGATAGTTATTTGTAGTTGAGGAAGTGCCTATTTTGACAGGTACGACATGCTTGATGTTATCTTTGTGATGGTTATTGGACGCTGTTAATATTATTGATAAACTCGTTATTTTCATTATATTACCTGCCGAAATAAATTCTACAGTATTTTGGCAACGGTCTCACATCCATAGACTTTGGAATAGCATGTAAATTAGGTGAGTGTCGAGATATAATACAATCCACTTTAACAAAGCCGCTTTATAAGAGAGGTTGGTAATACAGCGAATAGAACCTCCTTATTCTATGTACTAAAAATAAGACAGTGGTAAACTCTATCCTAACGAACGACGCCTTCCCTTAATTTCAGCAGGAACTGCGAGAAGGCTGTGCGCCATTTATACAGTTGATAAAAAATGCAACTAGCTATGCTCAACCTAGCCTCATACCTAACGCATTCCATAAAACTTCATCTCCACAAGTCCCTCGTATTATGTAGCCATAAAATCTCGATTCAATCAACCTAAGTCTAATCTTACTGGAATTGAGTAAAACTACGAGTAAAACTCCGCGTCAGCGATCTCCAGAGGCCCGTCCGGCGCTGGCGGCGCTATAAGAGTCGCCTGTGGTATCTCTTGTTAACATAGTCCTTTCAAGCAAGGATCAATAATATAAACATACAGCATACTGACCCCCTGTTTGGGAAAATATAGAAGACCGGTCTAAAGTTGGATCTGTTCTCATTTGGGCAAATGGAACTGCCAAGTGACCTCTTTCCATGAGAATCCTTCGTGACCGGGCGTCTCCGTCTATCAACATAGTAACTAGTGCCCTGAGACTATAAATTTCTTCATGCAACACATGAATATCACCAGCTGTATTTCTAGAAACAAGTCAGCGCTTCAGTCACCCAATAAAGATAATGTCGACAGGAATAGTTCTTCAATACCTGCTATAATCCACGATACTCTGGATAGCATTGCCTACCTGATCAGGTGGTAGTGCTGTACTAGGCCCAGTAGAAGCGTCTTGTGGTGGTTCTCTATTCACCACCCTAGGGGGTACATCACATGAAGTAGAGTTATTAATGTATGGTTGGTTCAAGACTAGCACCGATAAGTCGGGCTTATAGGTATGATCACTAGTAACATGATCAGTGTGATCTATGGTTGGCATAATCTCCGGTGCTTCCGGCTGGTCTAGTTCATGTAAATCTCTGGAAATATTTGGTCCGTTCGATTGGCCTGCTTGATGCGATTGAGCTTTTTCAGATTCATCCACTTGATCTGTGATTGGTGTATCGCTCTCAGATTTAGCTGGTTGATTATGCTGCTCTGTTTGGGTTGTCTCAGTCTGTGCTGTTGTTGGAGTGTCACTCTCGGGTTTGTCAACTTTGATCTTTGGCGGGGCGGGTTCGGTCGGTGCCTCTGTTTGGGTTGTCTCAGTCTGTGCTGTTGTTGGAGTGTCGCTCTCGGGTTTGTCAACTTTGATCTTTGGTGGGGCGGGTTCGGTCGGTGCCTCGGTGTGGGCTGCCACCGAAACGTCGTCCTCGTGTTCCAATTCTACCGCTCTAGAGATGAGCTCCGAGAGTGTTTTGAACCAAAAAAGCCGTACTGGGGATAATTTGAGCATGTTCGGGATAACAAGAATATCGGCATTCTCCTGTTTTATGTAATTCCATACTGACTCGGATGTTTCCGTTATTTGGTCTGTATATTTTACCGTCATTTGCTTAAGCTGATGTTTTAGTCCTAAGGGGAGGTCGACATCTTCTTCGTAAAGAAATACTACAAATCGTAGAAGTACAAAATGTAGTGGTTTATGGACCTTAATTTCGAATGGGCCCAACTTGCCGTCAAAAACAGATTTTGAAGATACCGGCATTATTGTGTTCTTATCCTTGTACAAGCTAAGTACTCGGGCCATATCATCGACCCATCCTTGGAAAATCTTTCCAAATAATCTGAACGTTTTCTTTATATCCTTACCTATGCCTGCCTTGGAAGAAAGTGCAACCAACAGATCTCCTTGAACAAAGAACGGTTTTCGCTTGAGCATAGTGAGCTCGTTCTGCGAACCATCTGAATCGTTATCTTTTTCCGTCATCTCCTTAAACGGGCGTAATTCTTCTATTGAAAGTTAGTTAAAAATCGAAGCCGTTATAACAGTCTCATATACAGCGGAACAATTTCTGTTACCTTGATTAGCGTCAAGACACTCGTATCCGGTCGGAAACCTTTTACTAATAAGCCTTTGGAGCTCAAATATAAAAGTCTTAGCAAGACATAACTTTTTGTCAAGCCTATGTTGATCAAAATTTTCATTCACATCCCATAACCAGATGAAGTTCTCGGCAGGAACCATGTGCGCACAGAATGTAATAAAGTCCCATGCGTATCCAGTACAATAGCGATCTAGATCGATAGTAATACGGCAATATCGAATCCAACGGCCGATCGCCGGCATTGCACCTCCGAAGTCAATTTGACGAATTGAAGCTTCGAAGTCTGCGAATGTTTCTACATCTTTCTCCGTGAATTTCATGAAAACTCCCGCAGCATCCAGAGAGGCTTGCATGAAGAGCTTGAGTTGAAATATTGCATCAAATTGATCGAGAATCATACACATGAGGGAGAATCTGCGGTCGTCGAAGTCATGAACCAATGGTTTCTTCGCAATGGCCTTAGCCTCTAACAAGGAAGCCTGTATCGCATTTCTCAGTTCTCCAATCGCATCTTGAATTTCCAATTCCCATGGCCAGCGAAGACAGAATTTGTGAAATTCCTCTAACCAGGATTGAGGAAGGTCATAGTCCCTGAAATCTGCCAGGAAAGCCCAAATTATGGAGGTTCCTTCGTTGTAGAGGGCTGCCTCATATGCAGCCTGGTATTCCTTTTCCCATGATATCATTGCGTCCAACTCAGGGCCCTTTGGAAGGCGTCTCATGAAGGCTTTGATAGTTTTTGACAGGTCGAGGTGCGTGTCTGGTTCAAAATTCCGGCGTCCGGAGAGTTCTTTTAGCTTGATAGCCCCCCATTCAACACAGGCACTGCGTAGGTCCCATGTAGCCAGCAAAAAATCTTCTTTCTGTTTCTTGGTCAGCGCCCCCATTCGGTTAAGCGCCCTACGCCCTATCACCTTCCTCTTCTCTCCGCCTCTTTGATTATCAGAGCTCATAATTTCAGAAAGCTTTGTCATCCAGTCGACAGCTGATACCCACTCGGTTTTCTTGAGAATCTCTAGTAACTTATCTGGGCTGTGTTGTGCCCAATGCCTTTTCGTCTTTGCATGCTGATGAAATAATGACAGTGGCATTGTGAGGTTGTATGATATAAGTGGAGTTTAACTGGTTGAGAGGGACAGAAGGATTTGATTGGAATTATTAGAAATATTTAACTAGAATGGTAAACGGTCCAAAATATGTTAGCCATTTAACTTGGGGCTCTACTTGATGAAATAGGTTTCATACCTTCGCAGAATTTAAATTTCTGGAACTATTGTGTTTGGCAATTGTATCTGATCAGAATCAGAAAAGACTTCAGTCTAGAAAGAGAAACAGAGGTTGTGTCTATTTTGGATATTTTCTAATCGGTCTTAATACTCGTTGGGGAAATTTTTAAATCGTGATGATTTTAATGAAATATCTTAATTTGAGAGATCTGAGGGGTTAAAGGTGTGGATTAAAGTTGTAGATGAATGATGAAGGGCGAGGGGGAGTGAATAAATAGGGCCACCTAGAGAGGTCCATACGTATGTACATTCATGTATCTCAATCTGTTCTCAGGGTTACCTAGGGACCACGCTCACTGAATCAGATAGACCACATCTTACTACATATACTTAAGTTAAACCACTTCCGTTTTAACCCTCTTATTCAAAACTACATACAGTACCAAAAGAGGGGTGGGGGTTAGTACGGTAGTACTACGCCCATCCCACAAAATCGGGTAGCACTCCGGTTGTCGAGCGAGTAAAGCCGCCTTTCAGCAAATGCTCTATCGATGCTGTATCAATACTGCATTATATAATCTATGTATTCCCTAGATTGCGCAGTGTGGATGGTATATTTATACTGCCCTAGTACTTCCGCATTTCCCAAAATACGGCATTCTTGTGGTATTGAGGGAAATGCCATTCCCCTAACTCTGAATATCATATTTTGGTGATGAAGCATTTCGGAACCAAAGATCACCAGTCATTGTTTCATCCACCGATCCATCAATTCACATCCTCCTAGTATAGGCTTTAAACTATTGGGATATACTTTTGAAAAATAAATTTTGTGTTCCTAGGCACACATATGCCCGTGATTATAATTAAGAAAATGACGACGAATTAGGAATTACATGCACTATTCAGTCGTGATGATGATGATGATGGTGATGATGATAAAGTGGTGTAGGTGCGGTCTAGTCTCGTACCATGGGACGAGCCTAGGTGTGGGTGGTCCTGGACCTGGTACTGGAGCACTAGACCTGGTGCTAGCACGCTGGACCTGCGCCTGGTCACAGTGTGCTGCGGCCCCTAGGTTATTAACATACATGTCATGTTAAAAGGCCTATATTGGTGTGGTAGTGCTATGGTACTGCTATGGTATTTTATAAAAAATATATTGCTCGAAATTCTGAAATGATGCCGCTGTCCTGAGAATACCCTATCACGGCAGTGCTACCGTAGCACTACGGCATCAATCCCTACCCCCTTTTTGGTACTGTATTCATGTACATGTAGGCCTAAAGTAAAGTAAATATGTACATGTATGTATATACATGTAAAGCTCTAAGACCACGAACGTTCGTTAGTAGGATTACACTTCCTATTGAGCTCAAGCACATCGAATTCTGTCAATTCGATTCATACATGTAGGTAAATTAGTAACCGTATCATTGAATTGACAGTATACGTACATGTACAGTATATACAGAATATCTAAATGAGTAATTCATTTACAAAGACTTTTGTCACTATATGCCATGTGTCCATGCAATTCACATATACGTACGCTCGAGGTAGCACCAACTAACACAAAGAATTGATTGCGAAAGACAATATTAAAATACATGCATACAAAGAAGCTGGTTAGTCTGAAGTCCTATTTTCCATTCTGGGCATGACTCTTCACCGCTGACAAATTAACCCCAAGCCCCCATCCTCCCTGAATCACTTGGAACCTCTGCCACAACTCTGGCTTCGTCCCTGAATCTCCACTCCGCTGTCTCGGCTGCCTTCATTCTTCTAGCCAGCTTTGCGATTTCCTCCGGTACCCTAAAAATCAATCCCTCAGGGACAGTCACAAGCCTCTCCTCCTTGTCAAGACGTACTGGCGCACAACTCGTTGCTGGCCGGGCCATAACGAGACTCGTGTTTACCCAACCCTCACACAACCTCTGATTTTGCTGAATGTCACTGCGGCAAAGTCGATACTTGACCCCGATCTGGTCATAATCGATATCTCCGGTACCATCTCCAGCACTCGAGATGCTGCCACGACGCAAGGCCACATCATAGCACCGAGTGTATGCTTCACGAGCCTCCTCGAATCTTCCCAGGCGGATGTAAATCGATCCAACATGGAAGTGAGCAACTGCCAGGAATGGATCTATTCTGATAGCGCTTTCAAACCAGGAAACACTTTCCCGCAGATTTCCCTCACGGAGATGAAGCTGGCCGATGTTGAAATGTAGCTTGGCGGTGGGTTTGGAAAGGAAACAAAGCTCATGGTACATAGCGAGACAGATATCGAAGTCTCCAGCGTCGAAACATTCCTCGGCGTCATTTTGGATTTTGATTTGGCGAACATAGGGCATCGTGGGGTGCGCGGGTGGCCATTGTGAGGCAGAGGTAACATCAGTGGGACAGGCTAAACGAGCCCGATAGTGATCTGACAGACCATATAGCGCCATTTTACTGTTGTTTACTTCGGTTTGTTAGTCTCTAGAGCTTTTGTGGATAAATAAATTTATTGTTGATAGTGCTTCGAATTTCAATGAAACCACAGCGCTGTCGTAAGTATAACTAGGGGAGTAAAAATAAGACATCATTGTCAATTATAGGTTATGCTGCTTACGGATTGGTATAAGATAGAATGTTGATAAACGCCGGCACTGGGGGGGAAGGTGGCTATTGCGAGGTTTGGTGGGGCAATCCTATTTCGTTGCTCGAAGTTTATGATTTTGATCTCGATTTTTCCCTCATTGTATGTACGTACAATTATATGTACATTCCTATCTAAAGGACAGACGGCACCAAGAGAATTTAGTTAAAAGGAACAAGATAATATAATTCACTTTATCTTATTCAGCCATTTTGGGTTATCGTATCTATTCAGCTGAAAGCCCGGCCATAGAATGACCAGATATACGGTATCGATACAGGTATCTGCAGCATTTATAATCACCCATTGTATCTATCAGGCGTTGACATCATTGCACTGTTCTAAAAACCATGATCATTAGCTAAACAATCAAGGCCTCTTTTTTCCAAGGTTAGGTCTCGAGGTCTTGATCAACATACCCACTCTGGTCGCATCCTGTAAGGCAGCTGTGTCCACCGCATCTGCAGGCAAGTGGATATATCTCAGGCTGTTACCGCGAAGGAATATGCTGTTTAATGCGAACTAACGGTCCTCTTTTAGCCATACGATCGTAAAATGAACAGGGCGAATCCAACACTACCAAAACTGCTTCATTTCCGGCCGCGTTGACGATTGTGATGTCTTTGAGGGTCATGTTGAAGTAGCTATCGATGGAAGCGAGAGTGCCCCGGAATACCATGCCGTCCTTAAGTTCGACCGTGACCTAAACAGACCTCGTTAGAAACACTATGTGAGAAGTAAGAGAAAATACCCCTACCTCGAAATTGATGAGTGTTTTAAACAGACTAGACAATTTTTACCTCACGATTAGCCAGTTCAATAATATTTCTTCCTCCTCTGGCGCGGTCATGAGGCGGCCGTTGAAGCAAAGTGCAGATTAGGGCCAAGGGTGCCGTACCTGAAGAACGGCATGCTTGGAGATGTCTTCAGGGTGAGGAAGCCTTCTCCTAGAGGATTATTTCGTGGTGTTGACTATGGTGTATATGTGAACGCTAGTCAGGCCTTCATGTTGAAACGCCTACCCGCACATAGAAATCTGGTCTTAGCGTAGCCGTAATGCTAGCACATGACGGAAGAGAACGGCGGCACCATACAGATGAATAATTTCATTTATATGTATCATTTATGTGCGAAATAATATACAAGTTCGTTCACTTTTTTTTCCTTTCGAAACCAGGGCCTGTGTCTTTCAACATTCAAGATGCCAGTCAATCAAGTCAGTTGAATACCCTCAAAAGATAGATGCAATTAATACTCCGGCCCCACCACCGCCGTCGCCGCGTAGTGTAGTCGACGAGTTGAGTATGCTCAAGCTCACGATCACAGCTCCAGCCAAATACACGACTAGGGTCGAATAGGGTACTATACTGATAAGTCGAGTTTGCTCGCGCGATTATTCTAAGAACCGATTCAAATTGCTCGAGCTTCCTAATGCATGAGATTGTTTCTTTACTCGGCACCATTCAACGACAAGCTCCAACCTCGCTACGAGGATTGGTGATCCCCTCCGGTCTACAAGCTGCTCGAGACGTCAATAGTAAAACTTTACCCAAGTTGTTAACCAGGCTACGCAAGAGATAAGTGGAAAATGAGAACTAAGTATGCTTTTGTGCGGATGTTTCTTGTGTCCCATTAATGGGTATCTACATGTACGCATGTTAACGGCAAGCTTTTACGGCAAAGACATGATGTTTGCAGTTCTGGAGCTAAACGATCCAGATAGAAACGATGACAGAACTACTTAAGGACAGACGCAACCAGTTTAATTGCGACCCTTTTGTATATTTAAGACATGGATTCATAGCTATAGTAGATAGCCCATACTTTCAAGAGAAAAACCCTATGTAGAATATTCCCAAGCACGATCATGCGCAACGATGCCATTGATAGCTAAACCGTCACAGCAAATGTATGAATATACACACTAAATACACGTATGATGTTAGGAAATGATTTTGATATGGCCAATTTGATAGAATGGAACTTACCTCTTTTTTTCTCCCCTTTCTTTTTTACGCATCTCCTAATCCGAAAGTTTCTAGAATATTGCTTCCTCTTCTGAAACGTGATCTGTTTAAGATGTTGTTAGCACCTTGTGACCTCCCTGGCTTCATGTAGATCACAAGTTCGGGGGTTATCCTATACTTTCGTCTTTAGCCATAGCACATGTATACTGTAGACAGCTAGACATGTGCACATACGCTAACAGCATCGTTAGCAATGATCTATATGTACAACTATGACTCAATGACCTAATGAAGCAACCTACCTTTTTTTTTTTCCTCTCCTTTTTTTTCACCCAGAACCGCTAAAAACCCGATGATGATATAATTCGCGCCCGAACTAAAGAAGCGTAACCTCTTAGAAACCTCGCTCTTTCCGGTCTTACCTAAAGTTATAGGAATGGTGACTTACAATATTTCTGTAGTGATGACTCGTATGATATCATACACAGACAACTCCACGCGGAGGCGATCAACCGCTGGACGCTGAATACACAATATCCAGTTAGTCTCCAGCCCTTAATAGTAACTCAAGAGAAAAACCTACATATATCATCGACCTGACCAACCTCCGGTTCAGACTGAGGAGCCGGGGTCGGCATTTGTTCCCTAGCCATTTGCTCCGCGAGAGTTGTAGTTGGTGCCTCCGCGCGAGCAGCAGTCGGGGCCGGCCTTTGTTCTCTAGCCAATGCCGCCGCGCGACGAGCATCACTCGCAGCTCGCAGATCACTTACGAGAACCGTATCGAAGTCAAAGACATGAACGTTGGGGGCTGGCATCCCAGTAGGCAAGGGTCCTGTCCAAATACCAAGGTCAAAAACCACAAAACCACCAACGAAAAGAGAAAAAAAAGGTCAGATTTTATATAACTTACGATGGCGCAAATTAGTCCCAAAGGCGACATTACCCTCGGTTTGAACAGCGACAAATGTTCTGGTGTTGGGCGAATCTATTCCGAGATGCGAGGAGAGAATCGCGGGTGGGACACGGGTTACGGTCATCAGGACCATGGAATTCATCACGAAGCCTGTGCGGGGCCTCTGGGGCGTAGAATTGGGGGTTGGGTCGGCCATTGGTGTGAAAGTATTTGGGTGTAGAAATTTAGAGAGTTGAATGAAGGCGAGGGACAGGTGGAGAGGATTTATGATTTATATAGGTGATGAAGGGATGATCGAAGACGATGAAAGGATGATGAAATTTAAAGGATGGGGGGAGAAGATACGGGATGACGAGGGACGGAAAATTTAAGTAGGCGGAGCCTGCGACTGTCAAATTCTCTCTCTTAATCATTTGGTCACTCATTGTGTATCTGATTCTTTTATGGTAACGCGAGGATTATAGGTGTTGACGAGGGTATAGGTTTGAGTGCGTCGACGTCCGCCCTCATGATTATCTCACCAAATTCTTTCCAGATGGTATTCTGAGGCGACTAAGAGAGGCAAGAACCTTGGCAATCCATAAGGTCATAATTACATTTAGGTATGGCTCTTAGATATCTGGTAAGTAGTTTTGATTGATGTCCTCATAGTGGAGTCAATGAGGATGGAATTCTCATGACATTGACTGGTATGCGTATGGGATTACGAACACGATATTCAGTGGCTATGAAGAAGATCGAAGAGGAATTCTTTCTCCTCTTCATTATGGAAAAGGGAAAGTTAGTCAGATATGTTTACACTGGGGCGTGTTCCTCTCACCTTTGAGATAATGAGACATCTAATTTGCTTCTTGGTGTCAATGCATTTACTTGTCAAGGCACTTACTTGTCGAGAGATTCACTGACTAGATTTCGAAGTGTTACACCTTAAACGAGAGCTACAGTCACTACGACTCGGGGAATCGGGGAATCGGGGAATCGGGGAATCGGGGAATCGATAGCTAAGTGAAATTAATCAACGTCTATATTTTGATTCGGGGGAGAGCATGCATTATAGCAACATGTTTAAATTGTTGTTTTACAGTCTTTGCTACCTGCTATTACGTAGTACTGTGTCAAGACAACGAATCTTGTTGGCCTAATGCATAATACGTGTTTATTTACAATTTCTTTGCTATAAAACGAGCTCCGTGTTCCTTCTACTCCCGATAACAAGTATCAATCCCGTAATATAATATAGTCTCTTATAAATTCACTCCCTGAATAGCAGAGACAACCATCACCAAGGTAAGCCCAAAGCAACCGTTTCATTTTATTACAACTATTGCTTTTACTACTTTCCATTATACATATGCCCTCGCCAGTAAACCCAATTCTACATAGACCTGGACGTACATGGTCCTATCTTCTATCACTTTTCTCTCAAGAGGTTCAAGGAAATAAATACTGCAGTGTCCTAATCGTGCATACATACATACCCCTCCAGACATACCGGACCATTCATATCCGACCCCCTAGCTACTTCCTCCAGCGCCTCTCGCTCCACTGCCTCCTCGGCTCTCTAACCACCGCATTTTCCATTGTCTGCAAATCCTTCACCTTTCTACCCCACCCGTTCAGCCCGGAGTCTACCACCCGCTCCCTATCCGCCTCACGAAATTGTGTCCGCCACATGCCACCATTAAACGCTGCGATCTTCTGTTTGTAATACGACCGGACCAAGGACACGGTGATGAATATCAGACTCAGGGGGAGCCAGCCACAGGTTACGACGTAGAGGATGGGGACGTAGATCTTTTCGGCCTTCTTTTGCTTGGCGGATTTGGGCTTGGAGGAGTTGTCGTAGCCTTCGCGTTTGGCTAATGTCTGCGGTACCAGAATGTTAGTATATTGTAGGTGTGCCAGGTATGCCGGAAGGACACTGTAAGGGTCCTCTTGTCCACTCTTTACCGCCACTGAGAAAGTTGATCGGTACCGTGGTTTGGCAACTAATAGAGATCTGCACTATGCATCTCTCCCTCCATAGTTCAAAAGTGCCAAGCCACGCGACCTGGAGCTTCCTGGCACCAGCCAGCACTGTGAAGGTTGAAGAAAGATGCTACACACATACACTTTCGGAAGAGATATCGACGCAGAACTCGCCCTCATAACTGCGTAAGCCGCGCTGTCCGGGTAGACAGCAGAACGGCGGTCCTTCGCTCCCGCCCTTGTCGCCGGTGCCGAAGGCCGGGGTCCATGATGTGTCCGCACATCCGCCTTCGGTACCTTCCACCATTGCGCCATGCAGGCAATTAATTCCTTCGGTCCATGTCAGCACTGTAAAAGGTGTTGTTTTAAAAATGGAATTTTACCATCAGGACAGCAGATAAAACGCCCTGTGTCTTCAGAAGCTATGCAACTGCTCTTCGGAGGGCAGCAATAGCTCTGTGTGGACCATTCATGCTGTTCCTCAGTGAATATAGTGCTGGTTTCGGTGCTACATAACTCCAGCCTTCCTGGACAAGTCGCAGCCCGTAACGGCCAAGTCGCGATACCGTGCTGCAGAGTCAGTAACGCATCTTCGTATGGTCTGCCGTCAGTCGTACGGCTGCCGGCAAACAAAACAACAAGCCCAACGGCCAAGATGAAGGGATGGAGGTTTTTGAACCACATCCTCGGGGGAGAGAATGTTTATCTCCATGGAGAAACCAGCTTGACTATATGAACTATATGAACAGTCCATAAAGCCCGGGCAAGCTATCACTATCGGGGGCTGAGTACTTTATGCCTCGTTGGTTGACGCAGCAGGGATAAGGTAGGAGGTGTCACAATGTGGTCTGTGTTTTTGGGCGACTGCTGACATTGGCGGGTTACACTCACGTGCAGACGGAGGCAGCCGGGTCATGGATTGTCACTCGGGTTCGTCTGCCTTGGTAGCCTGATGACAATGAACATATCCCGGTGCAGAGGCCTTGTTCTGTCTGCTTGGCCGAGAGAATATATACGTGGAGAGCGATTTAAAAGAGGTACGCCCTCGCCCACATGCCCATCTATTGTCGATATGGCGGTGTTGTATGGAGACTTCATTAATTTGGCGGTGTGCACCTTGCTTACACAGCCAGGCCCAGATACTTAGTTGTAAAGCACGAGTACCTACTACTACTACTACTACTACTACTACTAAAACATGGATATACTAATATATTCTTTGTCCCCAACCCAACAAGGCTTCAAAAATCAAAACCGCGATAGCAAACCAAAAAAACCACCTTTCCCATCTCCCCCTCCCACTACTTCCTCCACCCCAAAAACGCCTTCTCCGGTACCTTCACCTTCGCCCCCTCCTCCTCTTCCTGCACCTGGACACCCCATCCATTCACCCCACCGTCCCGCTCCACATCCACACCGTCCCTAAACCTCGTCCGCCACTCCCCGTCCTTCCAACTCACGCGCACGTCCATGCGGAACCCACACACGCAGTACCGTCCCCTGCTGCACCGTCGCCTACAGGCCTGGAGCCACCGGTGCAGGCGGGTGCCCGGCAGAGAGGCCATGCCGCCGATGTATATGACGAAGCAGGGGGTGATGAAGGTCCAAATTATGGCGTTGATGGTCTTGGTGGGGACGGCGCGCTTGAAGAGTGACTAGCGGGGGGTGGGGTTAGTACATAAGTCTCCAGGGGAGGGGAGGGGAGGGGGACGAAGCTTTTTATAGGGAATTTGGAAGGGGGGTTGAAAGGGGTTGGAAAGTGGGGCATACCTTTGTAGCTGGCGGTGATGTTCCCAATGAGAGTTCGGATGGGGGGGGAGTGGTGGGGCTAGAGCTAGAGCTTGTGGTGTCTTGAAAATATCATCAGCAAAGAGCTCACAAAATCCCCACACAGCTATATATATAGCACTACCAGAATTAATTAAGCTGGTCGTCGGGGACACACAGGTATACGCACCGACGTCACTTATCTCCCACCCAGAGCCACTACCACCACCAGTACTCGCGATGCCGTCTAGAACACCCGCAGGGGCAGTATCAGCTTGTAGATAGACCTCCCGTCCCGCACCCGTACTTGCAGGGTGGATCTCAGGGGTATGAAACGCCTCGATCCCAAGCTCCGGCCCCGGCAGTGGACGGCAAGCAACGACAGACAGCAGAGCAACAAAGAGCACAAGCACGTTGATCATAGAGTATAGTACTGCGGCCGAAACTAAAGAGCTTCTGTAGCTATCCTAGATATCTCTGGACAGCAGCAGCATCGTAGCTGGGGTAGCTAGATAGGCCGCCCCCAAGGCTGTTTTTTATACCCAAGATGGCGAAGAAGTGCAAATGTGTAAATGCAGTTATGGGATGCATATGCGGCTGACAGTTTTTGGTTGGAGCATGGACTTGGTTGGCTGGATTGGGTTGCTTTGCGAGTGGGTTAGGGTTGAGGTGTGTAACGGTCACTGTATGGACGATTGCGACGGTATCTCGATCGAGGAGGCTACAATGGATTGATTGATTTGATTGATAGGCTACAATGGAAAGACTGATGTGGGATCACGAAGTAAACTATATACAAATAAACATCGTTTATAAGTGCACTAAACAATATACTCATTCAACATGCATTACATGGTTTGTAGCGAAATAGAAGTTGAGGATAGATTTGATCCCATGTATATCTAAATCAAGGATGAGATCTCAGGCTCAATTCAAAGATACAAAGCTCGAATCGAAGTGTATTGATGACGATGATGGGAAAGGTATTCCAGAAAGGAACACAAAAGCAATAGCCTTTGTCCTTGTGACCTGTCCTTGTCTTATACCTCCAATGCTGTCTATAAGATGGTACACGTCAGGAAATCTCTTCTTCAAATCATCTATCGGTAAACATACCTATTCACCCTTGCTACTGGAAGTTTTCCCTGCGCCGGTCAACTATAGCGTCTGTATATAATCGTTTGGCTGAGAACATTTTGTGACGCTCCAGTTAGGAGTTAAGCAGAAAAATAACGACCTATAAAACTTAGCGAGACTTGTAATTGGATGAGTACTCATTATACTTACAATTCCTGCTCCTCCAAATGGTATCTTGCCAGGCCGTAGACTTAACGTCGCCTCAGGCCCTTGCATTAAGTCTCTCATCAATCCCATAATCTTAGATTCCAGACCACCAAAGCTTCCCTCCCTCTTCATAGATGCAAAAGCCTAATTATCAATAATTAGTTCATATCCAAATAAACTGACGACTAGCCTGCACCTCACGTTCTCAGGGCAGAGTATCCCCACTCCTGCAGTATTTTCTGTATTACAAGTATATACAGATGAAGCACCTTGTGGTGGCATCGCGATGCGTCTGGTTTGTCTGCTTCATTGTGTAAGTCGATGATTGTTTTCATCTGCTGTACTACGTACCGGTTATTTAATTAGAAACTAGCAAGATGCTGATTGGACAATATAAAACTTGCCTGAGTGCTGGTAAAAGCTTTGAATGGCACTGAGTGACAGATATTCTCGGCTGGTCCATGGCCCAATCAGGGGCGCCGTGTTTGATAAACAGAGGGAGAACTTAATTCATTCACGACGAATATGATGAAAACGTGGAGGATTGAAGTAATAAACCAATGTAATTAATTACGAAGATGATGATAAGGAACAGGAGAAGTATCTAGAATTTGAGCTATTTACAATATGTATACGTTTCCTCCTGCAATTCTAACCACTTATTTCCTCCCGCCTTTGATTAGTATACGTCTCCCACTGAACCTTAATTTGCTGCCAAGCCACTGTCCGTAGTCCTCATTCAGATTCCCTCTCTGCATGTTGGGAGCGCTTAAGCGTTCAATCCATCCCGGGCCCAGCTCGCAGCCACCGTTAACGTTTCTGGTCTCATAATCCTTCAAAGTGAAGCTCGTTCCAGTCTTCCCCGTGGTATTTCGATCCTGCCCCTAACCCTCGCTTGCTTATGTAGATACTCGTTCAAAGTGACACCTGCATATACCACATGGGATGCATGTCATGGTTACCGTTACACAAAGCGTTGTATGGTTGAGGTCGAGCGAGGCTACTACGTCTAGATATCTGGCTACGAACGAACTATCGACTCTAGCCGCCGCGAAGGCTGCTACATGCATTCGCCACCGGGCAGTGCCGCACAGGTAAATGCATTGCGGATCGGTCGCCTTCTTTCAACACCGTTTGTTTCGTTATTTGCAATACGTCGGATCCTTGCAGCGTATCAATTGGTGCCGCGAGCTAGGAACTAATCCTCACTGTCGGCGTGAGGCGGCTTAGCCCAGTGACGGAAGGGGGCTCTCAAGGCCTTAGGCCACGAGTATGTACTAGTTCTAGGTGGAGGACTCCACCTCCTAGTCTACACCATCATCAACCACGTACGTTACCAAGGCCGTGCCTACAATCAGCCAAGAGCTACTTTCTAGATCTAAGATTGCTGGTCCAGCCAACCCCCTTGAAGACATGCTCTGTCGACAGCATAGGTACGGCGCATCCCGGACGGCGACGCTACCTTCCATACTACACGTAGACTGCGGCCAGATGGAGAGCAGCAATGACAGAGGCACTCCCGGGATAACTACGTGGACCTTGGCTTTTCTTGCGGCTGGATTACGGACAACACTCTGTGGTATATATCTCCCGCGAGGCATTGCCCGAGGCGAACAAGGTTGAGATTATGTCTTCCAGAGATTTCACCAAGCCATACCGATCCGTGTGCCTTATGAAGCCGTTAAAGCGCACCCAATCCCCCGAGGAGGTAGTGTAGTGTCGTACTGGATACTTGGAAACTTGTGGAGGCTTGGATTAAAGGTTAATCACCAACTACGAGTAGCCTGTTTTGAATCAAGGGAAAGGACTAGAATTTCGGTTTAGGAAGGCATTGGGAGTTTGTGGAATGGGCTTTTTATCGATAAGGGGTTTTGTCTTGAGGTTTAGGTCCGGCGGATTAGCTATTCCTCGTGCCTTGGCCGAGTGGGCTTGGCAAGGATATCAAAGCATGGGAGATGGTATGAGACAGTTATTCAAAGAGTTCCAAATTCCGGATGTCTGTGCATATTGACGTAGGAACAGCGGGCGGCTCAAGACAATGGCCCGTTTGGCTGTTTTGGAGGTATCGAAACTCCGTTTAGTAACTGCTCCGTTAGGGGAGAGTAAACAGAGCTTTTTCAAAAGGGAGTTTGGGTTTATTTGGCCTGTCAAACACCTGATTGTTAAGGTTGCAATGGCTGCAACAGCGAAACGGAGCTGAAAAGTAGGTACCCCCTACTTTTCAAAAACTCCGTTTCAGCAGCCTAACGGAGTTACAAAATTGGCTGTCCGAACACAAACCTTTTTGAAAAAACGGAGTTTCGAAGAAAATGAAACGCAGTAATAACTCCGTTTCGCTAGGTAGGGCCCTAAGCATTATTGGCAAGATACATACTACCACCTACCTTACCACGTAGATCTCAAAACAAGCCGGACATAAAACCGTCAAAAACAAAAACACAGAAGTCTATTCAACATTTTTCTAGGTATCTATTCTTTAAATCTTTCAAATAAAGCAATATCGTTTTTACTCGGTACCCCCCACATCCGCGGTTGGGTCTTTGAAGACGCCGCCGAGAAGGAAGGCTGGTTCTTCGACGCTGTGGTGGTTGTAGCTGTAGTAAAGTGCCAGAGTTAGCAAGGAGCCATAGGATCAATGGAAGAAGGAACACTCACGTCAATGTCGCGATACCACCGGGTTCCAGGATCATCTGGAGCGGAAAGTCGAGCTCGAGGCCTAGCCACCTCTTGGTGAACGCGCGCAGCAGATGGCCGTGGGATACCTACACACCATCAGCATCAGCACCCCCCCCCCCCCCAAACCACACTACCAGTAGCAAGCAAACATGAACCAATAACACCTACCAACATCACATCCACATTCTTCTCGCCCCTCATATACGGGCCCTGCAACTCCTTGATCTCCGCAATAACCCTATCCAACCGCTCCTTCACCTCCGCCGCACTCTCCCCCTTCAACCCCTCCGGTCCCTCCCCGTCCTCACACCCATCCCTCCAGATATCAAACGGCCTCTCTTTATCCAGCCCCCTCGCCTTACGGTCCTCGCGGATCTGGGCAGGGAACCACCCCTCATACCGCCCATACCCCCACTCCGCAATGTCCTCCGTCGTGCGTACCTCTGTGCCCGCTGGTGCGCCACTGGGGAGCAGGAGCTTGAAAGTGCGCTGCGCGCGGACACGGGGAGAGATGTAGACCCGCGTGAGGCGGGAGGGGTCGATGAGGCGGCCAGCGCCCACGAGGGATCGGCCGGCTTGACTGACCTGGGTTTCGCCGTGGGGGGTCAGCGGGATCTCGGAGATGCCGGTGTGGCGGCCGTTGAGTGTCCATTCGGTTTCGCCATGGCGGGCGAGGAAGATGCGCGGGGTGGACATTGGTTTTGATTCGAGGGTGGGTGCTGCAGTATGCTGGTGGGAGTGGTGAGGGCGGGGTGGTGGGGGGTTTGAGAAATATTCAGAGTGGGGCAGGGTCAGGGGTTATGTGGGGTGTAGGGATAAGCTTTGGGCGCTCTTGCATGCGATGCGGCTAGTGGTCGCGAGAACAGGGATTTAGGGCGAGCTCTGGAATGTTTGTGTGGGGCGGTTTGGAGCTTAGGGAATGTGGGGTTTGTTTATGTTCGTAGTTCATAGACGGGCTGAATTGTTTGGTCTGTGTATTCAGTCAATTGATCATTTCCCTCTTTCTTTCTGCCTGAGAGATTGAAGTTCCAAGGCTGCCAACCGAAACAGCTCGCTTATCTGATTCCGTGTCTATTATTGGCCCAATCTTCAGCCGCATCACCAAACAAAGCTCCCCAGTGCTGCTCCGCACCATTCCAAGTTACCGGGCCACAACAACACCATCACATCACCACCACCACCGCCACCACACACAACTCCTCCTCCTCCTTCACAAACCACGCCCTGTGACAGATATTCACAATGAATATCGACGACGACGACCTCCCCGCGCTGCCCCGCCCTTTCCCCCGCCGCCCTGCCCCGCTAGCATCCCGCTACCTCGACGAGATCTACCCCAACCTCTGGCTCGGCAGGTATGTCATCACTCCCGCCCCTCCCTCCCCCTCCCCCCCTCCTTCCCAATCCTCCCTCCCACCCCGCCTAACTCCCCACTCCGCGTCCAGTCTCCAAGCCGCCGAATCTGCCGAGATCCTCCAAACCTGCGGCATCACCGACATCATCAGCATCACCTCCCACCGCCCGCGCATCCCCTCGAACCTCGGCATCACCAAGACCCACTTCCGCCTGCGCGACAACACAGAGGCCGACCTCCTCAGCATCCTCCCCGAATGCATCCGCAAGATCGAGGAGGTCATGTCCGCCGACACCACCCCAGGCGGGCGGGAGCGGAAGGTGCTGGTCCATTGCCGGATGGGCATCAGTCGGAGCGGGGGAATGGTGGTTGCCTACGGTATCTCCCCCCCCCCCCCCCCTTTCTTCCACCTCCCCCCAGATAGAAAAAGCACATGGCTGACAGACACCCCGCAGCCATGAAGCACGCCGGCATCCCCGCGCGCCTCGCGCTCGAGTTCGTCCGCTCGCGGCGCCCGATCGTGAATCCGAACAAGGCGTTCATGGCGCAGCTGACGGTGTGGGGCGAGTGTGGGTACGACACGGCGCTGCTGATGCCGGACATGGACATGGCTGTGGCGGAGGAGGAGGAGGAGGTGGAGGAGGAGGCGGAGCCCGACGAGGAGGAGATGCTGCAGATGGCGCTGGAGATGAGTCTGGCTGCATCGGAGGGCCCGGGGCAGACGCTGGCCGCCGGCAGGCTGGTGGTGGTTAATCCGGATAGGGTGCCGGAGATAGAGGCGGGTGCGGCGGGGGCTGTGGTTGGGACGGCGCGTGTGCTGGATGTAGAGATGACTGAGGCGGCTACTGACGTGACTACTTGTGTAGAGACTAACGAGACTAACATAGAGACTAACGTGACCACCGACATTCCCACTGACGCGACCGCTCCCCATACCGAGCTAGACATAGAGATGACCCCCGCCCCCGACCCGGCGGCTATAGAACCACGGACCCCCGAGCTCCTCGCGCAGTACGAAGTGCTCGAGCCGGCATCAACCACACCGCCAGATCTGCACCCTGAACAGCGCATGCTGAGAGCGGCCGCCGCTGCCGCCGCTGAAGAGGAGTGGGTGGTGATCACGATGGATGATGTCATGCGGCAGTGCTTCGAGGAGTGTGTGAGGCGTGTTGGCAGGGTAGATAGATAGCTGAGAAGCTTTCCTTTTTTTTTTTTTCTTTTTTTTTTTTTATTATTATTACTGATGGGGTGGGGGCTTTTTTTACATCTGTTTTTTTTTTTTTTTTTTTTCTTTTGTGGGGTAGATATACAGTGGGGTTGCGTGTAGCTAAGTAGCTAGGTAGAGGTAGCTAGGGAGAGAAGAAAAGAAATGGACTTTTTTCAGCGGCATGGTGGGAGTTTTGTGGGTGGGGGTGGTGTGATGTCTGTGGGTTTGGGGTGTTTGGAGGTGTTTGCGGTTTTATGGGTTTTGTGGGGGGTTTGTCATTGGCTTTGTGGAGGAATCATTGGCTTTATAGCTGGAGGTAGAGTTGTAGGTATGAACGCTTCCTTTCTTGTCTCGTACGTAGGCGTGGGTCTAACTGCGCTGGACTCGGGGGTGGGTAGGTGTGGAGGTTTCGATAGTTATGTGGGTTCGTGTGGCTGGAGTGATTGTGAAATTTATGCTCGAGATGGCCTTTTTTTTATGGCTATGGGTACGGGTAGATATGGTTCGTAGATATACAGCTGCGTAGCTTGGTATATGACGTTTGACACTCATTTCCGATACTATGAGCTCCTTTGGTTCGAACTGTTATTCACTACTTAGTACTTCCGATACGTTTGGCCCAAATCTCTACTGTTAACTACCATGAAAGCCAAAATGCAAATATCAAAGATAAAAACCTTCTACGAAACAATCCATATCCTTCTAAGAACCGCCCCCGAGTAATTAGCCATTTCTCTCTGTCCTCCTAGCTTATCCCTCACACCACCTACACAGGAGTCGTGAGGCCTCCCCTCCCCGCACCGCTCTCGAGCTCGTCCGCCGGTGATGTCAAGGCGGGGGGCAGTGGTGGTTGGTGCTTGGCATAGGTTGTGCTTCTAGACCGTTGGTGTACCTGGAAACCGGCGGAGCTAGTGGAGGGTCACTTCATAGGAACTCATGCAAGGAAATGTTATGACCTTTTATTGCAATTTTATTTTCGTGACAATTGATACAGTATTGTTTCCTTAATTTTTCCTTCCTGATCTCCTGGGCTTGCTGGTGTGATGTGATATGATGCTCCCAAATTGTGATGAAATTGATCATTGACTACTGCTCACGGAGGCGTTGTATGGTGTTAAGGTAACTAGATGAAGATACGGCACACCCAAGGCTGTAGTGGATATTGTGGAGCCCTTTTGGGTGTTGGTTTCTTTTGGTTGCCGTTCCGCCATTGTTATGATACCGCAGGTTCTAGCTAGTACTAGTATGGACAACAGGTTAGCGGATGTAGAGTGTGAGATTTTTTTGACGGGGTCTGAGAAGTACAGAGGATACTTACAAAATAGCTCGATTATAGCCAGTCAAGCTCACAGCCAGATGTTGATCGTTTTAATTGCCGCTTTGTCGCTATCATACCGCCGAAGATCTAGATCTAGTTAATATATATGTTAGCAAGCATGCTCTTTTTCTAGATTGTATTAAAGACTCTCCTCAGGGTGTCTACAGAGAAAGGGGTCCTAACAACATAGTGTTCGATTAAGGCCAGTCAGATTCGAGCTCATACTGGGCCTTTTGATAGATATGTATTCAATAGGTGATATTACGGAGTTGAACTACCGCGAGCACTATGGTGCTGGCACGACGAATTATATATTAGGTGAAAGCCCACTTTTTCGATAGATTGTACGTTCTAAAAAGATGATGCTGGGGGAGATAGGTATTCTCTTGGTAAAAATAAATTTCTTTCGTTTTCATCTGCCCTAATGATGTTGAAAAAATGCATCCAAATTCCCGCTACCAAACACTTACGGCAAGTCGTTCCTTAGCAAGTCGTTCCCTGGCAAGTCGTTCCCTGGCAAGTCCTCCCCCAAGTTCTCAGCAGCTGCCAGGGCAGCAGCCGACTTCGTAGCTCTCCTCGCCTGACGCCGAAACAGCCGCTTGATAGACACACTTTTAGAGGCCGCGACCACAAACTTTCTTTTTTTGCTTGCTTGCAAGGTTTCGCCAAACGCTGCTCGTCCTCGCAGGCCAGGGAGTGATTGGGCGCCGATCTTTTGGTCGGCGGGGGATTTGCTGAACAGGGCGTTGAAGATCTGCTGTGGTGTAGGGCCTTCGGGGGCTTGGACAGCGGGGGCTTTGGCGGTTTCTGCGTCTGAGTCTGCGGAAGCATTGGCATTTTCGGGAACATTGGCGTGTTCGAGAGCATTGGCGTCTTCGGGAGCATTGGTAGCTGCATCAGGGGCCAGGGTGGCTGGGAATTTTTACTTGTTAGCAGATAAATCCGATTGAGACTTTTAATGAGCATTTAATCACCTTCATCAGCGTGCTTGGTGGTCTCTAAGTTGGTAGAAATGAGAACACCGTCGTCGTTTTTTGAAGTATCCTCCTTATCTGAATAATAGAACTTGTTAGCATTGAACTAAATTCATGAAACTTCCAATAACGAAGAACAGTTTTATTTACCCGAATCGCCCTCCACTATAGCAATCTCTTCTTTAGCGCCGTCCTCACTCTCAGAGAGAGTATCATACGAATCCCCCAGATCCTCCAGCCCACCGCTCTCCGATTCAGATTCAGTTATAAACTCCTCCGGAAGTGTTGCTGGTAATGACCTACGGCGACTTTTCGTCGCCGTTTTCAAAACGTGGTCAGATCTCTTGATTCGCACCATGGTTTCCGAGAGAAAGAAGTAGCCCTTAAAGGAATTTGGGTAATGTGTTATTTCCTGGCGTTTTTGGGTGGGGGTGGTTTGTGGGGATGGGAGAAGAATGTTCACTCCATGTCACTCGATTGTGGCGTGGATGAGGCTCAGCTGCGCGCGTGCGCCACACCCAAATGCGATTTTTGACAGGTCATTGGAAACCCACTAGTATCAAATATTACACCAGAAAAACAACAGTTGGGGATTTGTGCATGACTAGAAAATATGTCTAATAGGTAGATGACAGGTCTTCTTCTTTGCTTTCTCTATAGAGATCTTCGTACTCGATGCCAACGTTCTTAAAATTTCCATGCCTTTACCACCGTGCACCTCGTCTGTCGATATTCCCGGGCCCACTATATAATTGAGGGTCGCGATTTTTATGATAGATCAACTATTTAGAAGAAAGATAAAGTGATATGTGAGTAAAAGTCACACTCTTGGCACTAACATTACGGTGAGCAGCACCTTTCCACAGACCAAGACATAAGTCACAAATTCTACCACCCTATGCAAAAAGAACATGCTGGAGGACAACAATCACTTTACAACACCCTTTCCTTTTCTTTTTTCTTTTTGAGTGTCAAGAAACCTCATGGAATCTTCTTATCTTGCTGGTCAATAATTACCAACATCTCAATAGCGAATAATTGGTGGAAATGCGAATCAATTCCATCTCGTGTCGTGGACATGACAAAAGGAGATTGATGAGTTATGAAAGATTATGAAGCGGTATGCCCATATGCATTCCCCAACGCCATGGTTAAATCCTTGATACTGACTTTCACAGGATCTCCCTCACGAGCAGAGAGAGAAGAGACATTAATGAGTTGCTCAATGATCCTCTTCTCTCTTTGCTCATCATGGGTGAAACTTTCACCACGAATTGGATTAAGATATTTCCCTTTGTACAATTGTGGACTCTTGTATTACTCTTTTGTCATGGTCTCAGTACCTTGTGAGTACCCTCCTACTACTACCCGTTAATTCATTGTAAGCATGCTAAGTGATTTATTAGTCTTGTTCTCGTGAATTCATGAATTAAACCGCCCATTGGCAAACATGACCAGATCACGCCAAGGCACGACATAGTTTCATCGAAAGATGATTTGAGCAGAAATTTACACGGGCCCTTGGGCTGCTACTATGGAATGGTTTTGAGAGGGATGCGAGTATGCGATACTACGCCATCTGATGATTACCGTTTCGTTGTGGACGTTGGCCTGTAGGACGTTGTGATAGATTAGGATGCGTTAATGTGTGGTTTCTGAGAAGGAAGTGCCCAAGTAGCGTACTGCTTTAAGCCCATCTGACGGATGAGTGCATCTGATTGCAGGCTATGAAATTGTTATCTTAAAGTATAGCTAGACTGCTTCTATCACATTATTGAGCCGATTTGAAGCTCTAAATGATCAGGTATGTACAGGTTATCTTCTTCCTTCACTGAAACCTATATCCTATTAATACTATCACTAGCAATAACTATTCGGTGTTTAAAACACCAAAATACCGGGCATCAACGATACCTGCTGCGGATTCCCTGGTATACGCCTAAGACACCAAACAAGTTCGGTGGAACCCTCATATTGGGTTATTTCCTTCTTGGGTGTGTCTCATCCGGTTTCTTCATACCTTGAAGTATTATAGGAACACTAAAAAGGGTTTACGAAATATATGTAAGCATCTTTTATGATTATCATGGCTTGAAAGATTTCTCTTAAACGGGATACCTTTTTCGTATATGTCATCTTCCCTCAGGCTTACGAATTAATGAAGTTGGCGTCAGACCTTTGGAATTATTATATCAGGGGATCCGACTTTTCCATTTAATCAGTGAAGGCTGTTGCAGAGACCATCAAATTCTACCGAATCTTATGATGATTCGACCTGACGTTGCTGCTCGGCTACAGTCATTGACGGTGATGGCAATCGTGACGCCTGAGATAATGACCCTTATATCTTACTTTCTCCTTAAGATCAAAGCTCTATCAAGATTGAACTACACTTATATTCCGAATACAGGTGAGAAAGCACTCTACGTTACCCAATTATGAATATCTCTAACACCTTGAAAACTAGGAACATTGGGCCCGCAAAGAGCCTACTGACCCCAATTATTTGTTTGGTGTGAAAACACTCAGTAATTCCCTGTTAGATCGCGGAGTGAGGTTTCTGATCAAAAATACTCCATCCTATCAATCCAGCAATTTGAAAAACTACATTTTGTAACGGAAATCTGGATTACCATGAGACATTTGAGGAGCATACCAAGGCATATGTTTCTCAACTCTTTCCATCATATCTGCTGAAGATTTGAGTATGTTTTTGTATAGGAGTATTTCTTGAGAAACCTCTGGAGATTTGTGTACTTTCAAAACTCAGCATACTTGGAAAAACTCCTAGAAAACGGATCTGGTGTTGAAAGGGTTATTCAAACTGCAATTGTGATCTTCACGTCTTTTGCTTGGTCTCCCGTCATTTTCAAGAGGTATTGACCTTGTGGTTTGAATTGAGTGCGCTCATATATAAACAAAAATATATTCGACAATAAATCCTATCATCACTCACTCACATTGGTATTCTATCATCAGATAAGAGCAACAGAACACCAAAAAATATCGCATATCCTGACATCTACACATCAGCAAGCCAAAATACTATCAATATATCACCCAAACACAAATCAATCTTATATCTCAATCAAAAATGAGTCTTTCTATCGGTGGAGCTTCTAGCGACGGTGTTGATCTTAGCTTTCCAGGAGTCGACCACGACGAGATCACCCTCGGCGTTGAGCTGGAGCTGGCAATTTTCAATCTTAATGATGACAACCGGGACCATAGCCTATGGTTCTCTTATATCAGAGGGGCGCTCATTGATATCGAAAGAAAGTTGTCTAAACCCGGTAATAAAGTCATATTCACTGTCAAAGACGACGCGTCGATTAATATCTACTGGAAGGGGCCCGGCCCAAACGTGGGTGTTGCAGTAGAGGTTGCAACCCCGATTCTGCTCGGCGATCAGTTTGAGTGGGTAATTCCTGAGATGTGCACCGCAATCAACAACGCGGTCAAGAGGCAGGGTGCGACGATTGATCTTTCACCTGAGAGTGAATGTGGTCTTCACGTTCATATTGGTATTCAGGAAAGACACTATACTCTTGGGGAATTGAAGAGAATCGCAAAAGCCGTCGTTATCTTTGAGGATGTAATGGAAATACATCATGCTGCTCATAGGCGAGGAAGCGCGGATTATATTAAGAGTAACCGAGCAGCAGAGCAGCTCAAAGGACTCTCGATAGTCCAGATGGTCGACAAGCTTGAATCGACCACTACTAGTAACGAGCTGTTGCACATGATCAACAGCGACCCAGACCATCCAGACAAACACTTTAAGTACAACCTTACAGCAACCAAAAAATTCGGAACCGTCGAGTTCCGTCAGGCAGAGGGATCAATTGATGATACTAAGATTCTCGAGTGGATTCGGAACGTTATCACCTTCATCGTCGGCGCATTATATACCCCAGACGAGCGTTTTCCGCAATTTGCGGATTGGGCCGACCAGGGTTTTGCTTGGGACGAAGATATCTGCGCATACTATGGCCTCCCGCCACCAGACCGGCAAGGATTGCCAGCTGACATTGATCAAGCCCCTGGAAGTGACGATGATTCTGATGAAGAGGCAGAGGAGAGTGATGATATACTTCCTGACCTCGTGGATTTGAGTCTTGGCTCTGGTGGTGCTGAGGGGCCGAGTGTGATGAGAAAGCGTGACACCCTAAGGAGGCTCAAGGGAAAGGTATCCGCCAAGATACATTCTCATCATATTCGTGAGAGACTGACCGACAGGATACATCGGAAGCATATTCGGGAGAGATTGTCTAACAGGATCAAGCGGACTTTAACCAAATTTTCTAAACATAGAACCGCGTAACTAACCTAATATCTCATGATTTAGGGCTTGATATTCTGACGAGTTATAGAACACTGCTTCGTGATCTATTGCGACTAACATGGGTTTTTGATTTCTAGGCTTGGGTTTTTGGATCCGATCTATTAGATGGTTTTTGATTTTTATGTCTTTGATTATGTTTTTCGGCGTTATCTGATTTGATGTTTTGAATTACGCGCTGTGTTTTTATCGTTTGCATTTTTAGACTGCGAGTTCCGATAGATGAGTTATTAGAAAATCAAAACTATTAAACTGCGATATTTGCATCAATCGTTCCTCTTGTTGTGATAACCCTCTTGAAACAGGTGTCGAGAATGAAAACCCTGCCGCGGCTTCCTTCACAAAGCATCACTCGGGCGTCTCGCTTGGAAATGATATTTTTTTCTTTTTTTTTGTTTAATTCATTAATGCTTGGAAATGATAGTCTCAACAGAAACCCAAACCAACTAAAAATCCGACTTGTAAACCCCTGTCGATCGCAACCCGACACCGCAGCTACCTTTATCACACTAGCCATCTCGCTTAACACCCCATCACACACAGCCAAACTTCATAGCTGAAAAGTTAATTCTCGTTGGTGAAGACGGATGATTTCTTGTGATTCAAAATCTGAGTGATGTGTTGTGACGAACATGTCTTCATGGCTTAGTTGGTTAAAGCGTCGGTCTCATAATATGACCAGATTCATCAGTTTCTGGATATCCGAAGGTCGCGAGTTCGACTCTCGCTGAGGACATACCTCTTTTGCCTCATCGGGTGATGATGGTGCTGGATTTTTTAATTGCGTTGGTTCTTGGTGGTGGGGGATTGCGCGGAGTGGAAGATTTTGGGGGTTTTGGAGGTGGGGGTCATGGTGTATTTTGGTGGTTGGTGCTGGCTGGGTGGTGGTTGGGTACGGGTATGGGAAAGTGTTGAGTGAGGTGCTTTGAATCCGGGCATCGGGAAGTGATGGTTCTCTATCTCGGAGGCCCGGGGACTTGTAGTTCCCGATCGGGTTGTGCTTTTTTGAAGAGATGATGATAAAACGTGAAGAATTTCAACCTTCATCTTGAATACCCCCGCTACACTTCCTTCACAACCATGGACCGCACCGCTCCACCCCCCACTCCGCCAAATAAGCCCAAAAAGAGTACTGATCGTAACCAATGTCTAGTAGCGATAAGCGCTACTTACTTGATCTAAAGGAAGCGGATGTGCTATCAGAAACGATCAAGTGGGATGTGCTTAGGTCATGGGCTATCACTCGTATATTAACTGACTGCGTCTTTGTTTTGGTTGTTAGTTTTTTTTGTTCGGTTGAAGAGGGGGGGGGGGGGGGGTTGGGGGTTTAGGCAGGTTGTGGGCTTGATGTTGCTTAAGGTAATGAATGGGTGGTATGTTAGATCAATTTGTTCAGAATATTCAAACTGAAACGCTGGATCATCTGCGCCAAGTTTTGTATCATCGATCGCATTTGCGGGAGATAGGAAGTGCAAGCATGCTAGTTGATAGTTGGTTGTTCTGTTCGGTATAAGTAATCCCAAGTTGACATCCACTTTGCGGTGGTGTGTCACTGTGATGATTTAGTTGGGTCATGGGATATCACTCGGATATATCAACCGCTCTGATAGGCGTCTTGAAAAAATAACAGCCTATGTTCAGCTTGTTAGCTTGCTTGATTTTCAAATATTCTTCAGAGTAGCTTGAACAGAATCATGGAGGATATAAGAAAAGCTTTCCACACCACATCTATACTCCCATCACATCATCACACCTCATAAAAAACCAACGTACAAAAACGCAAATCAACAACACACACCAAAAAGCCCAATTCCAAGCACTCATCCACCATGAAAACCACCATAACCCTCCCCACCGGCCTCCCCCCGCTCAAACGCAGCGCCATCACCATCGGCCTCGAGCTCGAATTCCTCATAACACACCTCCCCCACCCCATCGAAACGCACAACGAGCTCTGCAACGTCCCCAGCACCTTCATCCTCATCAGCGCCGCCCTCCTCCCCCTCTGCACCGCCCTGCGCATCCCGCCCCCAAGCCATGGCCACACCCTCCTCACCACCCACAGCACCTTCGCCGTCAAGCGCGACGCCAGCCTCTACACCTCCTCCGGGCGGCCCTCGCCCCCCCGCGGCGGATCCCGCCTGGCCACCGGGGGCGGCGTCGAAGTCGCCACCCCGATACTGTCGTACGGCACATATGCGCGCGTGGTGCACATCATGTGTGCGGCCATCACCGGCGCCGTGGCGGCGGCGGTCGGCGCGCGGGTGGAGTGTAACCGCACCACCGGCCTGCACGTGCATATCGGGCTGGGGCGGCAATACACGCTCGACGAGCTGAAGCGCCTCGCGAAGGCCGTCCTCATCTTCGAGGCGCGCATGGACACGCACCACCCGCCGCACCGGGACGGGAGCGTACCGAGCGCGGACGGGCTGAACTACATCCAGTCCTGCAACGGCAACGAGGCGCTGCGGAGCCTGGATATGGGCGGGAGGGTGGCGATGGTGGATGGTGCGCGGTCGTATCTGGCGCTGTGCGCCATCATGAATACGGGGCGGTTTGTGGGCGCGCGCAGGGTCGAGGAGATGTCGTGTCGGTTCTACAAGTACAATTTCGAGGCCGTGGGGCAGTATGGGACGGTTGAGTTCCGGCAGGCGGCGGGGACGGTGGATGCGGTGTGGATCGAGGATTGGGTGGAGAGGGTGCTGAGGTTTGTGACGGCGGCGATAAGGACCGAGGATGATGTCTTTAGAGAGTGGGCGCTGGTGGAAGGCGGGCCTGATGATCCGGCGGTGTTGGAGAGGTTTGGGATTGGCGAGGTGAGCGAGAGTATGGCAAGGAGGAGGAGGAGGCGGCGCAGGAGGGCGGAGAGTGCTATCGGAGATTCGAGGCCCGGTAATAAGAGATCGAGACTGTCGACCGTCACGAATCATGAGTTTCCAAATCTTGGGCCTTTGACTCTCGATCCAAAGCTCAAGACCACTATTCCCCAGAGTTCAACTCCCAAGCTCCCTGACCCTTCCGCTTCGACTATCCCTCCCAAGCCCAAAATAACTGCCCAAAAACCTGTCAAAACAGACATTACCTACCCCGAACTACCTGCCCTCAATCCCAAGATAACCGCCCACCTACAAGAAACCCAGAAAACAGACATTACTCACCCAAACCTCCCTGCCCAGCAACCCCCCAGCACAACCCCAGACACCCCCAAAACCGACCCCAACAACCCCAGGAGAACCCTCTCCCGGGACGAGTCCACCAGCTGCAGACCAAAGGTGCCCATCCCCAAGTTCAAGAGGAGACACATCCCCACCGTCTCCCACAAGCCCGTCATTCCGAAACCCAAACCCGCTGCGCGTGCTCCACTCTTCATCCCCCCCACGCTCCCCGATCCCAATCGCAAGATACCCACAATGATCAAGCCCGACCCCGCAAGTGGTATTCCGGTCATAGTTCTTGCAGACCCCGACGAGACCCCCATCACTGCATATGTACGCGCCGATAGCGACGTCGAATCTCTTCCGTCGGTCATCAGTGATGGGGCGCCGACGTCTGAAGGGTCTGAAACCGGGTATGAATCGCCAGTGTATTACGGCGAGACTGGTGGTTTGGCGGTGCAGAGTGCGCCTGTGTTTTCTATTGTTGCGGTGTTGACGCTGCCGTTGGCGGTGGCGATTTTGTGGCTTAGGGCCCAATAGATTTGATGTGCTGTGGTAGATAGAGGTGTTGGTTGGCGATCGTGGGAGGACTAATGTTTGAGTTGTTTTGGATAGAGTCTTAATGTGTGTTGGATAAGTGAATCGTTTTTTATACGACTACATGTAGTCTTGATAATTAAACTGTAGTAGAGCAGCGCTAGAGGAGGACGGTAGATTTGAAAATTAGGGCCAATAGATATAGATGATCATGAGCTTTTGCACTTAATATAAAATAGCATGTGAGTTTTCCAATCGATGCGAGTCTCAATATTGTCCAATGCGCGCCGGATATTCTTGATCATGCCGCAACCTAAATTTTGTCTTTCGAAGTTAGCAAAGGATATCCCAATGACGCTAGAAATTAGGTGACGCAAAAAGCCCTGTTGGTATCCGAACTCACCCGTCACGTTCTGACTTGTATTGAAGAGCCAACGCCCAGAGATCATTCAAATACTATCACCACCCAACCCGCCCACAGAAAGTCTTCCATCCAAACACCACCACCCCCGAATACCGCAACGCATTATAAACCCCCCAGTCCCAAACCCCCAATCCCACGTCATAGTATAACCGCAACAACCCAAACAACGCCAGCCCGCGCACCCCCCCCACCCCCCCAAACCCAGCCCAAACCACAAAGCCGCAAAAAACCCCCACCGCTCCAAAAATAAAAATGCCACCCAACAAAAAAAGCCAGCTCCTCCAACCTCTCCACACCCTCACCAAACTACGCCGACCAACCTCGCCCTCATCAACAGCGGACACCACGCGGCTTCTACACGCCTGCACGCCCGCCCCCCGCTTCAGCATATGCATCGGGCTGCACAGTGTCGCCTCCCACCTCTGCACCGCCGCAACCGAGCTCGACCACCGCCGCAACCAAAACATGCGCCTCGTCCGGAGCACGCAGGTCTTTGAACACGAAGCGTACGAGGCTGGGCTTCGCCGGTTTGCCCATGGTGCGGGGGAGAGCGAGGGGGGGTGGGGGGGGGGGGGGGTGGAGGGATGTGATGAGGGCTAGGCCTGACTTGATGTATGAGTTTGTGCGGGCGGAGGTGAGGGAGCTGGGGCACCTGCTGGACCGGGTTGAGGAGGCGTTTTGAGGGTGTGAGGAGGGAGTATCCGTATAACCTTTTGCGGGCCGGGGGTAGAGCTGAAGGGATTGCGGTTGCGGTGTTGTTGTAAGAAGTGGGATTTTTTGCCTTGTGCCTGCCTGCCTGTCTTTGTTTTTTTGGTTAGTGTTTGGAAATTGGATAGATCTAGATCGCAGTTATTTTTTAAAAAACACCGATAATAATAAAAAAAAACCCCGGAAGCCAGTTGAAAAAAAAACAAGCAAATAACCCCCCACACAACCATACCCCACCAAAAACCCAACCCCCCTCCGCTCCAAGTGATAGCCTTTCCTCGAATCCGCCTTCTGCTTCATGATCACCAATCACCATATCAAGTTATGAGGACCACAGTAGCCAACCCAGAAAAAAAAAAAAAAGCGATATATAAAAGGACCAATAACCTAGTCCAGCATATGCCACACTACTACAACCAGGGCCGAGAGACTGGGCGAATATCTTCGCGTTTGTAGTTCCCATCACCGGAACCGGATAAGCCAGACCTCCGGGGGGGGGGGGGATTAGAATCATATACCATCACTCGGTTTGGAAATTTTACTATCTACGACGGCCTGCCGTGTGTCCAACGTGTATGTATATCCATCCATAATGCTACGGTATGCTGAAAGTCAAGCGGTACTTCTTCACTCCGTGTAAGCCTCATTTCTAAACTACGGATTTCTCGATAATTTTTATTTTAGATGTTATTTTGAGCTCCAGGTTTCCTGGACAATTACGGTGGAAAAGGGGTAGTTAATAGGGATGTGTCATTTCATTTCACGTAATAACTAGAAATCTTTATTAATCAATAACGCTACCATAAAACCAATCTCTTCCCCGGGTTCCCCCATAAAGCACGCTCCAACCCACCAACCTCCCCCCTCCCCCCCCCCCCAGGAAAAAAAAAAACCCTCTACCAAAACTCCCCCCTACGCCATCAACACCCCCGGAATAAGCCCGCCCACCCCCCACCCCCACCCCCCATTCACACCAACACACTCCTCCCCCACCTCCCCCACCACCACCCACTCCTCCTCAAACACGCTCCTCCGCCGCCGGCTCCCCGCCCTCCCCACCACCCTCGGCCGCACCACCGCCGCCCGCTCCTCCCGCACCCACGGCGAGCACGCAAGCCCCTCCCACGCCCGCAGCTGCCTTACAAAGCTGCTGTTCGGCCGCACCCCGCCCCGCCTGCCCACAACGTACGCGAGCGCCTCGTCGACGCCGCACCGCCGCGCCTTCATCACTGCCCGCCCGCCCACCACACGCAAAATTCAGCACGCACCAAAAACCAAAAAAAGGGCAAGCTGCGGGGGGGTGGATAACGAACCATACGCGACCACCACCGCGCCGCTGCGCGACCGCCCCATGCAGCAGTGGACCAGCACGCGCTTCTGCTCCTCCTCCTTCTTCTCGTCCGCAAGCAGGTATTCAAGCCTGTTCACGCAATCCGGCAGCACCGCCAGGAGGTCCGCGCTATGGTCGTCGTGGAGGTTGTGGTACTTGTGGATGTAGCCCTGCGGCACCCTGGGGCGCGCCGAGGTGACGGAGAGGACGTGGGTGATGGCGTGCTTGGCGAGGTGCGATGGGGACTCGGCTGCTGTGAGGCTGTAAAGGGGGGGGGAAGCTAGGTCAGTGGGTGGCGTGGGTGAGGCGGCAAGGGGGATGGGGGAATGGGGAGGGGATGTTACTTTCCGAGGAAGAGGTTGGGCAGGATCTCGTCGAGGCTGGGCGGGTGGTGGCGGTGGCAGCTGGGTGTGGGTGTGGGTGTGGGTGTGCAGGTGGGGTCGCTGGGGCAGGTGCACTCGGGCTCGACGAAGGAGACTTTCGGCGGCATGGTAGATCTAGAGCTGGTGGTTGGTTGTTTGTTTGTTTGTTTGTTTGTTTGTTTGTTTGTGCGGGTATGTTTTGTGTGCGGGTGAGTCTGTCTGTTGGTATCTCTAGAGCTAGCCAGAGAGTGAGGATCGCGGCTGCTACTTATGCTGCTGCGGTAGCTTAGCTGGCTGTAGCTGAGGTAGCGCTCTGGCCTTGTGATAGCTGCGGATCGAGCTGTCAGCTGCGATAAGGAGCGCGTGTGTAACGCGAGAGCCCTTATCGGGCGCGGCATGCAGGGATTAGGGGGTGCAGGCACGTGAGAGGGCTTGGCGGAAATGATGGAGAACAAAAGTGCGCGTTTTGAAAGCGTTGGTGTTTTCAACATGGAAACAGTGATGCTGGGGACAGTGGGCGCTATAAAGCTGCGCTCTAATGTAGACTGTAGCCTCTCATCAAAGCCGCACAGAGCTTACAGCCATACAAACTAACAAACTAACAAACTAATCAGAGTTCCAACTAAACCAAAAATTAAAAAAAAAAACCTCACAAAATGTCCACCCCCACACTCCCACCCACCCTCACCACCCTCCTCGCCACCCTCTCCCACCTCCACACCCACCTCACCTTCACCACCACCACCGACCTCCCCCTCCTCCGCGCCTTCCTCACCTGCATCCCGCTCCCCCCAACACTCTGCCCCCCCACGCCTACCCGCCGCTCCCCCCTCTTCACCCAACAATCCCGCCTCGCCGTCCTCTCGGCCCTGCACACCCGCACCCTACCGCACCTCCTCCAAACCCGCCCCGCCGCCGCCTACAACTTTGCGCAGCGCAGCATCGAGCACACGCGCGCGCTCCTGCGGGCGTTCATGAGCGCGCTCGTCGACGCCGAGTTCAGCGTGGCCGAGCTGCGGGCGGGCGTGGCGGCGCCGGAGGTGCTGGTGGGCGTCGAGGAGGGGATCGATGCGGCGCTGATGCTGTATGGCGCTGCCGTGGTGGAGCTGGACTATGTGAGAAGGCGGTGGCCGTGTGAGTACTTGGAGCCGGAGGAGCCGGGCATGGAGTTGGAGCTACTGCTGGAGAGGGGGGGGGTGAGTAGGAGGCGGTAAGAGTGTTTTGTTGGGGGGGGGAAGGAATTGTTGCCGAGTGATGGCTGATGACCAGGATGCCAGCCAGCCGTTGATTGTGACACGCCCGTGATCTAGATACCGATAACTAGAGACTTACTAGCAGTGCCAATACTCGCCGGTAGTTGCTTGATCCCAATAGACGATGAACAAACTCCAAACCCTCCCACAACCCCCTACGCGCCCCGAGTGACACGCCATGATCCAAGCCAGCCCACCCACCCACCCACCACCGTGACCCATGCACACCGACCATCCCCTGCAACCCCAAAGCGGCTGCTGCATCCCCGCACCCGGGCTGCCCACCCAGCACCAACCATGGACGCCCGCCCGGACTACAAACCCGCGCCCTCCCTGGTCGAGGCCTCGGCGCTGAGCGAGGAGCAGCTGAAGCGGTGCTTTCTAGGTAGGTATGACTATGTAATTGCTATATATAGTACGTTTAACTGTTTAACTACCTGGCTACCTGGCTGGCTGCCTGGCTGCCTGGCTGCCTAACTGGCTGATTGACTGACTGACTGATTGATTGATTGATTGATTGATTGCTGGCTGCCAGATTTCCCGCACAGCCCGGAGTACATCGCGACTGCTCCCCCCACTTGTGTTTACGTGCTCTCTTGATCTTGATCTCGAACAACCGATGCATGACCGATGACAGCCTACTCTAAACTTCTAGGCCGTCAACGCGCTTAACGCGAACACCCACCCCATCCCCGTCCGCAGCTCCATCCACTATCAATGCCACCGTTGCTCCTATACCGCTAAGTTATTCGCCCACCCAGCTCGGCCCACCCGCCGCTAGATATGGCCCATCCGGACCCCTCACTGCCGCCGCTCCTATATAGCCCGCCGACGCCGACGCCGACTTCCAGCACGGCGCCTTCAGCACCACGCAGGACCACCCGTCGATGCAGAGGAAGCGCGAGACGGTGCGGCGCATCGTGCTTGAGCGGCCGTACGCGCAGCCGCCGCAGGCGGTGGTCACGTGGCCGTCGGGCTTTCCCGTTCGGGCGGCGCGCGAAACATGCGGGGCGGAGGGGCGTGTCGGCGGGCGGCGGCCGGGTTCCGATCTGTATGTGAGAGCTCGGCGGAGGAGCCGATGCTGTTCTCGGCGGAGCGCATGTTCGTGGGCGGCGCGTGCTCTCGGCCGACAGGGCGGATACGCGGATGGGCAACGTTCCAGACGCCCGTGCCGTTTCCCGAGGAGGGAGACGGGGGGGGGGGGTTTGTGGGGCTTTGGGAGCGGCCAGTTTCACGGAGGAGGAGGAGGCCGGTGATGGGTGTTTTTGGCGATTTAATCGGCTTGCGGCGAGTATATATGGGGTCTGAGGTGAGCCTGAGGGGGTGTCGTGTGCGAAAGGTGGATAAGGCGGGCCGGGGCTGAGCTGGTATCTTACTACGTGGAACAGCGCCCAGGTTACCTTTGCTGGGGCTGCGTTTATCGTGGTGGGCTGAGTTTTCGATCTGCGGGGGGCATGTGTAGCTTGTGGCTTGCTTCCTGCGCCGTAGTAATAGTTCTGGTATTCCTAAAGAACACGGCAATCCCGTTGTCGCCCATCCATTGATACCGATTCCAGAACGAGGCTTGTCGCCTTGTAATGTCATATGCCCATGGGTTATTTTTGTCACAATATTCAAAAGGTCTCTTTCTTAAATAACCTCGATCTGGCTGCCGTTCTTTGTGGCTTAGGCCGGGTCCACGGCTGGCTCCTAATCAATGTTAGTTGGCGCAAGTTCATGACATATTTCATGAGGTACAGGCTTGAAAGCTAATAGAGCGGCCACAGTTGCTACACTCGACTTCACCCTGGAGCCATTAAACATTCTCAACAAGTAGCACTTCTCACCAATATCTGGAGAGTGCTACGGTCCATATTGATACTTCTTTTTGATTGCGACCAATTGATCATATTAACTACACTTTATTAAGCGGCTGCTACGGCAGCCCTGACACCACAGGATGCCAGAAGAATCTCTCAGAATAACAAAAATTCGGTCCTCCCACCACCCAGTAAACCCCCCCCCCCCCCCTTTCTCCTCTTTTTACAGTACGCTCTACGTTACTATTCTAATTTAAGCCATCCAGTAGTCCTTGGTGAGGTACGCGCAGTAGCCGGCCATGCATGCGAGCCAGGTCTGGGCACCATAGTATCCAATCGGTCTCCCGACACCCATAGTTCCAGGACTGCGAAGTCCAAATTCACTATCCATCCACGTCAGTGCCTAAATCAAATACGTGGGAGAATAGAAGTACTCACATATGAGCAATCTTGAGCATGAAATACGCTCCAAGGGCATAGCTCAACGTCTTATGGTCTGCCCCGTTAAGCTCCGCGATCAAGGAGAAAATCATCTATCACGATCAGCCACGATTTCTAGCTTCCCTCAAACGCGGCGGTTACACTTACAGCCGTCGGCACGGTCTCCATGTAGTTAGCATAGCACCTGGTTTCCAAGAACAGCCGATCCGGATTCTCTGCAATGCTCTTCTTCTTTCCCATCCCAGCACTAAACTCGGTCTTTCCGAGCTCTGTCTTGTTTGCACCGCCACCCAGCTCGGTCTTGCCGGCTGGGGGGGATGCGGCCTCGATGTGGTCACCGAGGAACGTCTTGGTGGTGAGACGGAGGTATACGACACGGCCAGAGAGGAGGATGAGGTACGCTCCGAAGGGAACGGTCCACGCAGCGGTTGCGGCTGTGAAGTTTTAGAATAAGTGCTGAGACGGGTGGGTTTCGGGGCCAGAGGAAAAACTCACGGGTAAGGAGAAGACGGGGCATGAGCCCAATGGTTGTAGTGGAGTAGTTGGCCATTTTACTATAATTTTTTCGAGTGTATCTAATATTTCGATGATAGAGAGTTGACTTGATGACTGACGGTGATGTAGATGGGAGAGAAGATCAGGGGGGAGGATGTTGGGAGAAAATGTAGGCTCGTATTCCCAGCCCCCTGAGGGGGAAGAAACAGATATGTAGGTGTCCCGCGCGGGCCTCTCTGTGATCTACGTCATGACGGACTAGCTTCTTGTAGCGCTACCGAATCGTGTTCCCGGGGGATTGACACCTGCCAGACTTAATTTAGCGAAGTGTTTAATTAGTTTGTTGGTCTATTAATTTCATCTTATCTTATCAGTAGTGATAACTATCTCTTGGCAGCTGTCTAACCTGATCTGCCATTAGTACAGCTCCTCCTCTAAACCTAACAATCTGAATCGAAAGGAATTTTTCAAAAGCATCATCAACCTTCTGTTGAATATTACAAGAGTGCGTAAATCAAGTTCATATCTCTTTGACCTCGTTTAGAGTTTTGTTCAGAGTATTCGAGTTGCCAAGGCCCATTCAACTGACCCTAACCCTGATGCTTTCAAGATCGTTTCCTAATACATGTATCTTACTAGTTGTTACTACATGCAAATATGCGCTGTGCGGCAACATATTTTTCAATACGACTCCGTAAAATCTCTTTCAAAGCCGACAAAGCGCCCACATAGTTTCTGCGTCTGCATAACTTGAAAGCCTCTATGAGCATACTATGCACTGCTCCATGGAATACATAAATATGGTGTTATACTATTGCCTACTTTCTCTCACCAGGTTATAGAGCACTCACTACATCTTCATACATCAATACATCCAACACTCTACATTCAACACTCAACTTTCGATACTCAACAATCCAACAAGCTCAAAATGTGCAAATTCAACCAAGAAATCCACGTCTGCGGGCACATCACCTACACCCTCCACGCCGCTTGTCCCATGGCCAGCCACATGCAAGCCAGCGGTCTCACCGGCCAAGCTAACTGTTCTCTACTCCCAAACACCACCCACTTCGTCCCTAGCTCCTTCATCTACCGGACCACCACTCTGCCCGACACCAGCTGCAGCTCGCCCAGCTGCTTCTACACAGTCGAGAGCGACCCCTTCCACTGCGATGCTCCCAAAGCCCCCAAGACCACCCCCCCGGGTCCCGCACTCCCTCCGTCAATCCCGTCCTTCAGCATTCCCATGAATCTCAGCCCCACCGGCGGCCCCTCTCTGTTCGACGAGCTCCTGATCATAGACCCAACTCTCAGCTTCGTGGAATCTATCCAGCTCGAGCTCCAATGCTCCGTGGGTGCTCTTTCGCGCGAGAAGCACCAGGCGCGGGCCAGGCGCGGATTAACGGGTGGCTATATGACGCCGAGGAGGGGTGGCTATCAGAAGCTTAGCCGTAATATGGTGGAGAGGCGGTCTACGAGGGTTAGTTATTCGGGCAGTCCTGTGTCGGTGAAGCCAAAGAGGTTGTGTGATATCCCGAGTACGGGTGGGAAGAGGAAGAGGGTGCTTGGTGGCAGGCCTGTGAAGAGGAGACGGATGGCGATTTCGAAGGTTGATGAGGAGGCGTTGACATGTGATTTTGAGGCGTTGAGTGTTCAGGGACGGGAGCAGGAGTATGAGTTGCCGATGGATGTTGTTGTTTGAAGACTTTATTCTTGGGACTATATTTGAGTGGTTGGTTCGTTGTGGTCGTGGGGCTGTTGTGCTAGATGTGTTATCTTGTTAGGGTCGATTCCAACGAGATTGAGTGTGATAGTAGAACTATCGTTGAGGGGTAGTGGCTATAACTTCTTATTATAGAGATCATTTATTAAATTATTCTACATAGGCACTCAATTGCAAGCTTTGGCATTTACATGAACTCCGATCATTGGCCTGGCTAACGAAGGATAACCTAGAATCCAATGGTTGTCCCCGTGTCGTTGATGATATTAACTCTCAATTATCAGATAACTCAAATTAATAGCCACGTTGACTTTTACTACAAACATTTGATCTTTGTCATAACCTACACTTTCTCTACTTTATCTAAGCCTCGGAGACGACTACAAAAACATAACGATGCCTTCTCATCAAGCCCAGCTAAAGTCAACTCGATACATCACTAACACCACCTAATCTTCCGTCTAGATCATTCTCGCCCTGCTTAAACTCGAGCGCACCCACCATACAAACCGCATCACAACCGCTCACTCGACGCAAAACCTTGGCAACGGCGGAACACCAGAAAGTCACGATAACCCCTCCACTCTTTTTGAACCCTCGGTATCACCCAGAGCCCACAAAAAGAACGGAACGAATTAACGTAAAAAGGCCCTCTCCTCTTCATACGAAGAGGAGAGGGCAAACCCACAGAACCCAGAACGACCCAACGCAAAAAAGCCCCCCTCCCCTTCTTTCGAAGAGGAGAGGGCAGAAACACCCAACGCAAAAAGCTCTCTCCCCGCAGGGAGAGAGCAGCAAGCCGACCTAACGTAAAAAAAGCCCCCTCCTCTTCAAAAGAAGAGGAGAGGGCCAAAACAACTGAACGCAAAAAGTCCCCTCCCACAAAGGGGAGGGGGCTTTGATAGAGAAAACTCTACCGCTTCTGAACCCCACGGAGGCGCAGAAGCGGTAGAGAGATTTCCCTCCCGAAAGGGGAGGGAAGAGAAGAAGAGTTTTCCCTCCCAACCTGGGGAGGGGAAACCACGGGCGACCGGGGAGACGGGACCGGGAGTGAGGTTCCCTCTCCCACCAGGGGTAAAGGAGAGTTTTCTCTCCCCAACAGTGGGGGAGAGAAGAAAACCTTTCTCTCCCCACCCCTGGGGGAGGAAGTTGGGGGGGGGGGGGGGCGGCAAGGCCGAGACGTCCCTCTTCCCACAGAGAGAGAGGAAACGGGGAGAGACAAGGGGGCCCAAAGGGGAATTTCCTCTCCCCACCTGGGGGAGAGCAAACGAGAAGGGGGCAGGAGAAACTGCAGTAACCCTCCCCACGGAAGGGGAGGGGAAGGGGACGGCATTAGCCCCCCTCTCAGCCCCACCCAGGAGACCAAAAGCCAAAGAGGCCAATGGATTATCCTCCCCTTTAAGGGAGGGCCGGAAGCGGGCTAGACTCTTGCGAGTCCAGCTGGGATAACCGTCCATACCCCAAGAGGGGGAATGGAATTCGATGGGAGACAAAAAGAGAGGGCTGTGATAACCTGAACGTAGGCATGGGATAGCTCGGCACGCCCTGCTAGTGACGACCGCCCAACCTTGGCAACAGATATTTGAAATGGACGTAAGGTAGATTTCAATTTCTAAAGGGAGTTTTATCTTGTTTTATTGCGCGAGAAGTATATTCGGGAAAATTCAAAAGTACAAGTACACCATATTTTGTCTCGAGTAGCCTCCTAAGTTAATCACCACAATCGATCTACTAAATTATAACCCATTAAACCAACTTCAGATCCTTACAGTTTCCGTTATAATTAAGGGGTTCTGTTTCGTACACCATGCGTTAGGAGGTGGTCCAACTAAGACGGTAGGATATTAATACGGCTTCCTGTTGAATGTCTGGAATAGTCATGTTGAGAGCTAGAGCAATATTCTCGCGAGTTTGCGAGCTCGAAAACACTGACTCCTATGTGCCTGTCCCCGCACATGCCTAGATCCAACGAGGGCTGCGCTCAGGTACTCATATTGTATTGGTAATATTGGACATTTCCACATGTATGATCGGGCCACGGGTGTAGTTAGGGCTATGGCGAAAACGAAAGATAGTATGTACAGCGAGAATGTGGACGTTTAATTAGCCTTCCTGACGGGCTCCCACGCTATCTGTGACCATAGTCGCCATCTTTGTAATAGTGCTGTCGCTCTGTTTGAATGAATGGTGGATTGCTAGTAACGTCGTAAACTATCACTCGATGTCCTCTCGCTCCGTACTTTTTTAAATATGGCTTCCGAGCCTAGGATAAAATATGAGGTTTTCAGTATGAATCACTATAAATCACTATATGTCACTATGAATCACCATAGGTCACAATAGTGTCAATATTATGGAGCGGTAAATGTGTCAAAAGTAATTTTGCCAACGGTAGTAAATTATTTACCACCGGTGGTATAAGCACTGAATTTCAGTCATTGTATCTGCACGCTATCCTACATTAGTACATTTCCACCGGTATAAACACTGAGTTTCGGTCTTTATGCTGCGCTATACTAAATAAGTAAATGTTCAATCATTAATGCCAAAACTTATGAAAATTTCCCACCGGTGGTGAAATACCGCCACCGATGGTGAGATTCCCCACTGGTGGACAATTTTCATATATATTGGCATTATATGGCCCCTGTTGGCCAAAAGGTCTGTGCTTTTATCATAAAAATTAGCATTATAGGGTATAAATACTGGTATTATTTTCACCACCGGTGGTAAAATAATTTACTACCGTTGGTAAAATTACTTTTGACACATTTACCGCCCCATACAATATTACATGGTACAAACAAGGGAATAGTCTAGTATGCAATAGCTGTTATTAGTATATAAGGACAAAATTCCTACTGTAGTCAAGCATACAACTCATGACAGGTTTCTACCACTCACCTCCGTGTATATTTCTAACAGTTACTTCCTGTCCTCATTGCTGGATATTTGACGTCAACTTCCCCACCTTTCCATATCTGTATATATGTGGTCATATAGCCAGCGTCTGTCTAAGAAACAAATCCTTTACCATGATTTCACTTGGTTTCAACAGCCCGTTTATCTACTTGAAGTTACGATTTAAATCCACTTTTATATTTGCCTTTAGGTATGGGTACATTATCGAGCTAGGTTCGAACCTATTTGTCCATATTCCCGACGGAAGCTATATATGTACCCCCGTAGAAGCCGGCCATTATACTCCACGTCAACTAAGTCCTGAGAAGCTTTTCGAGAGGACTCAACTGACATACGAGTCAGCAGCCCGCATATCATACCTAAAGCTCGCCTATGTATAAACCACACATTAGCAATCATCAATCACCCATGTAGAAAGGGCATTACTAACCTTCGAATTCTCCCCCTTCAGAAGCTTCGCCATCAACATTATCGCCATCTTCAAGGCCTTCCCCCTCCTCGTCCTCGTCCTCGACCTCTGTCACTAGCCTCGCCTCACTCCCAATTTCAAGATCCATCACGTGATCAACATCTCCCCCCGCCTCAATCAATAGCCTAATGGCTTCGTCCCATAATTCTGAATCCGGATCCCCCATCATCTTCCTCTCCCAGATCATATCATACGCCGCTTCAAGAGGGGTCCTACACGCTTCATCCTTCGCAATAGAGTCCGCTCCATACATTAAGAGAAGCTTCACCATGGCGGGATTATTGGTCCTTATAGCGGTATGCAACGTCGGCTCATCCCACAAACACCAATCCTCCTCGTTCTCTTCCCACATACAGCCTAGTTCAGACTTCTCATTGGGCGAGGCACCATGCTCCAACAACAGTTGGACCATCTCATAATGCTTAATTTCCACAGCCTTTCTGACCACAGAGTCTCCATGAAAACAGACACCAAGCTTCGGAGTAAGGTCGACGCCGTTGAAGACGAGGAGTTCGACGGTTTCAAGGCATCCGCTGTCGACAGCGAGATCGAGGACTGTGGGGCAGTCCAAGAAGGCTGGGTAGCGGTAGTTAATGTTAGCCCCGGCCTCAATGAGGCGGGCTACAAGGTGGGTGAGGCCACGACTGGCAGCCCAGAGAAGGATGGTGTCCTTATTTCTGTGGAAATAGGCAGTGAGGAGGGGGGCAAAGAGGCGGTGGAGACCGCGGCAGGTGGTTTGAAGTGAATTCAGAGAGCCTGTTGAAGATGGGAGAAGATCTTTGGCAATTTCAAGGAGGATCTCATTAGGAAGATAGATGAGAGGCATTTTTGCTGATGAAATTCTTTCTTGAGGATGGAATTCTTTCTTGAGGATGGAATTCTTTCTTGAGGATGGAATTATTTCTTGAGGATGGAATTATTTCTTGAGGATGGAATTATTTCTTGAGGATGAAATTCTTTCTTCAGGATGGAATTCTTTGGTATTGATGGAGTTTTTAAGAGAAAGAGAGGGAGGCAGTGGGTATATTTTTATCAACGATGACTGGAGAGCTAAGGTTTCCTAGCGTGTGAAAAACTGGCAGTGATGTGGGCTTGCTCGACTGCGCTTATTTGCTTGTAGAAAGCCCCTGTAGAAAGAGAATAGAACTGTCTCTGACAGGACGTAAAATCGATAAAAATGACGCCGGAGTATTAGAAACTAAGTTTTGATATTCATCTTCATACTTGTGAATATTTCATCTGTCGTTCAACCAGTCTCACGCTCATCATTCTCGACAGAGAACGACTACATGTACCCTGATCCATTATTCTCATGGCTACTGTACATCCGCTCCCCATGCATGATGCAGCATATACAGGATAGATAACCTAAGGGACAGAGGAGAGGGGTGCAAAGGGTGCAAAGGGTGCAAAGGGTCCTATAGACCACATAACCGTCCTCCGTTGACCACCGTCATCATATCATCTTTACCCCAACCACTTGGCTCACTCGTTCCCAACTCCATTGATGAAAAATCACCCTCTTTCTTGTCCGTTTCTCCACAGTTTACGCCTACCCAGCAAAATATCCCCGCAAAGAGGGCTCTATCAAGAAAGGGCTATCTAGAGCAAACTATTTTCTGAGAATCCCCTCAAGTCTTTATATATATCTACTTCTTAATTTCATGTTGAAAGAGAAGATACCAATGATCGACTTCCCTCTTTTTTCAACCGACGCAGTGGTCCTCCACATACACAGAATCAGAAATTCAAAGCTACATATACAGACCTGATCTTCAAACTACAATCCTGAAATATGTGTGCAGAGAGAAAGGCAATATTCAAAGATCAATCACGTTGCCCGCTCGAAAGGCAAGTATATATCAGACGTTACATGGAGTAACACTAGCGAAGTAGTTAAATAGGTCAATGATCCGGGAGATGGTTAAATAGATGTCAATGATCCCAGAACTAGTTAATGATCTGTCGTGACATAAATAAGCATATATAGCCAACGTCTCGTGACAAAATCCACATCCGACCCATGTAATCTATTTTTAGTAACATATTTACACGCAATATAAACAACCTCATAAACAATTGCCTCCATTTATTTTTTTTCGGGAGTGCGTTTCATGCAAATAAGAATCGCGCGATAATAACCCTCTGGACCGCAATAAGGTCTTCTAGACTGCTCCCAATCAAAATTACCCATCCTGCGCTTTCTTAGTGAACCACACTTATCAGTATCTCCTGATCCATTAATACCAACCACCATCTCCGAACCCAAACTCCCCACCAATAATGCACCAACCACAAGCCACCTGCAGAATTTCGGGGAAATGAAGGTTTACGTAACCCTCTACTCGGAACCCGAGTGACGATTCATGAACGTGTCGTGTGACACAATTTCCGCCAAGGTAACAACCCCCCCATCCCATTGCGCCTGTTATCGCCCAAGATAGTCAGCCTCCTCATTTCGCAAACCTCTCCTCCTCCTCCTACTCCTCCTCCTCCCCCTCCTTATTCTGTCCCCCCCAACACATCCTTTTCTTCCTCGGCATATCTCCAAGTCTGTACTCAATCCACATTAGTACAGTATATCCATTCCACTCACCTGAAAGATCCCTACCATCAGAGCTCGAAGCTCCTCAACAACCGGAAAACCACACAATGTCTCTCCTCGCCCTCGCCAATGAGATTCTTCTCATTATCGCCTCCAACCTCTCCACTCGCGACCTAATAAACTTCCAGGTCAACCACCGTCTACACTCCCTCCTCACACCCGCCTTAACCCGCCTCATGCTCGCTCGGAAAGACCCCCTCCTTCTCTGGGCCGCGCACAAAGGCCGCGCACCACTTCTCCGGCGCCTTCTCGCCAACGGCGCCTCCCTCGCCTACGTCGGTAACCGGCACGATTGGCCACGCAAAGAGCTTTACCAGCAGCGCACCGTCCTCCACCTCGCCTCCGAGTGCGGGCACGTAGAGCTTGTAAAGCTGCTGATTACCGAGGGCGCCGACGTGAACAACGCACAGCACAAACCACAGCAGTACGCGTCGACAGCGCTGCACCTCGCGGCGAAGCGCGGGGATGTGGCGGTGGCTGAGGCGCTCGTGGACGGCGGTGCGGAGCTGGAGCTCAAGGACCGATCGGGTGCAACAGCGCTATTTTTTTCTGTCAAGGGTGGGCATGAGGAGGTGGTCAAGTTTCTAGTGGACAGGGGGGCCGACGTCAATACGACGGATTGCGCAATGACAACTCTGTATCAGATGGCTTCCACCCGCGGGTTCCTGGAGATCGAGAGGATCCTGTTGGATGCGGGAGCTGTGCCAGAAGCGACAGATGAGGATCAGTGTATGCTTTCGCCCTGCATTAACGGTGTCTAATAAATTGATCTTTTTGGGAACATTGGCTTATCTGTGCACACAAAAGAGATAGCCACCGCTGCGGACTCGAACCCCCCCCAGAGTCGCGCTAACCGCAGTGGCCTGGGGCCTGTGGCCTTTTTGCGCGAATTTGTTTCTCGATTCGGGAAGATGAAAGTTAACAGCAAAGCGGGGACGTATGATAAGAAGGGAATTCGGGCTGCTGGCCCGTTATTCCAAAAAGGATTTCGAATCGTGTGTTTTTCCCCCAGACGCCGCCCCAAGACTGCGGGGCTCCCTCCCGGGGATGTTGATTGAAAACCTACAGAAAGGTGGAGTTATTAACAGTATCGTTATTTAATAGTCCTCGGTAGTTATAAGTAAGACATGTACATAGGACACCAAATCCATTCAAATTTCCTTCTCAAGAAATCAATTGTCTAAAACAGACCTCTTGCCTTCCGTGGCTAATTATCAGTTTAAATGATTGGACGACTTACGAGGTTGATAGCATGCGAGCCTGTAGCCTGTAGAATTGCCACTGTGTTGCTGATAAAATTTTATAGCAACGAATGTAGTCGGGAGTTCTCGGAAGTGAGTAACGAGTGACGACCCATGATCACTAAACCTCAAAGCCCGTTCCGTTTTTCTTTTCAGCTTATTCCTTCCCAATACACAGGTCGGTCTTCAGATAGCTCTTGTGGTATGGTTTTTATGTTTGAAATATATTCCCAGGGCAATCTAGAATTTTCCGAGGTGAATCGCAGTAGATGTAAAGCTTGCTTCCAGTCGGAAACCCGTATCGCGGGGACGTCCCTGAATGGCAGGCCTGTTTAAGTCCTTGCCGGGCATCTAATCGCAGTTATACTGCAACATCCATCGCACAAGAAAAGCCCAGTCAAGCCTGCGAAACCTTATAGATACCCTGACATTGTAGGCCAGGCAAGGATGGCGTAGAAAGCCACAGGTTTTGGTCGGCAGCACCGCAGGGACTCCTCCGGTAGATCTCGAACTTGATTAATTCTCAAAGCTTGTATTTTCCAAGGGACATAACCCTGTTCACTTGATTTAGAAGGATGGTTAAACTGATCCAGCTATATTGAAGAGTGAATCCTAGATAAGAAATTCTTCCTATAATAAGAGACGCCGAGGAACAGTCCTAAGATTAACACTTTTCTGTGAGTGATAGAGAGAGGGATATACCTTGATGGAGATATAGTGGACAGGTCAGTTTGAAGTGATTTTGTAGTCGTAGGTTGAGTGTGCTGGTAATCCGCCCCTGGTTGAGGTTTTGTCTCCATCCCGAGTGGCCATGGTATATACATACCAAAAGCTAGTCATGTACTCATCCCCCGACGAACAGTTTGTTGCTCACTGTAAGAGGGCTGGGTACGAGCCTAACCAAAGGTCTACCATTAGGGATATCCTTAGCTGGTGACTGGGTCAGTTCGGCAGATAGATCGCGATTCATCAATCTGACAGAGGCTAGAGTATCCTACGCCTACCTGACAGATGACCTTACTCACGTCGCACGATAAGATCGTTCCTCGAGTGGTTGATGTATTCTACCGCGTCACCCCAGCGGGTGTGCGGTGGTGCCAAGCTAGCTCAGAAGGTATTTGAGTTGAAGAGCGAAAAAGCATACACGGTGCTCTTAATTCCGGGTCGGATAACCAGTGACTCAGGTTTTTGCCTCACGCTCCGAGTCAAACCTCGCTTAATTACTGTGGTGCGCAAGAACTTTGTGGTGTTGGGCTAGAATTGCGGGGGGGGGGTTAAAAATATCTCCGGTGTTCTTAGACTACATACAATTCCAAGCACAGTACTGCAAGGCTCGATTGGCAAATATTGAATTCCAGATACGTAATATACGTATATCCCATCCAATACATGTAGTGAATAATCAGCACTTTAAACGCATGCACTTGAGCGGTTGGTAAATATATTAGAAGCCCGCGGAGAATAATGTGGGCTCTTAAACCATCGTTTGCGGTGTGAACATAGCGCGAATGATGGGGGGAAATAAGATGTAATCACAAATCTGCAAAGAAGGAAGAACATGTATGTATTATACCACGTTACATAATTTAAGGTTCCCTTTGAACAAGAGCTCGGACTTGAGCACGTGTAAGCGTGATGACTGGACACATGAGAAGAACAAAGGTGTGTTCTGCTCCATACCCCACACATAAATCCTTGTTTTATAAATTTAACGCATCCCCAGGGCGAGTCCATCATCTGCAGCAGAGAAAGCCATCACGACAGCAATATTAGTGGGCTCGCCACTGTGACACGGTGATAGCGTGCGAAGCTCGCTGGCTGGCCGTACAAAGGACTGGATGAAGCTCTAGATCTGTAGGACCGAGGGAACTAACATAATAGATAACTGTTTTAGTCCTTGGGCTATCTATTTGGAACTGTGAATACTGTACGGAGTGTTCCTACCAAGCCAGGCCAGGCCATATCCATAGGTGCTCGCGGGTACTTCGCCATGAGCGAACATACCCAAATACATCGTCAGAAAATACATGAGTAAGCACCTCGGAATACGGAATTCAAAGATGGTTTGCTTTTTCTCCAAAAATAAACTTCAAGATCGAAAAATCGGCAAACAGTACTTGATCCACCAACTTTTATTGATCGATAACGGCGGCACCCAAAGGTTCGGTCAACGAGGAGAGGATAAACAACGGGGAAGAAAAAGAGTGAGAATTCTAGCCATTCTATGTGCCCGGAAAAGTTCAATAATAACGGATAACAAGATAAAACCGCAAACGAGTTTGCCGCCTACAAAAATAATGACACCATAAAAGGTTAAAAAATCTACAAAGGATTGGAGGCAATCAAGTCCAGACAACATCTCATCTCGCAATTTCAAACAGTCAGTCCAGGGACCTTATTCTTATCTCTTATCCTTCTCCTTCCAGCCTCGGATTTTATCCATAACTTTACTGGTCTTGCCTTCACGATATCTCCGGTTTCCACCATATGCATCACCATTCAGCGGTAGGTTCTCTGCAGATACTTGTAGGTTTACCAGTCCAGTTATTCGCCCAAAGTCTGCATCGTTTTCAGTCTCGGTGTCGGGAGATTCGGAAAATTTACTCCTCACTTCCCGCGGCATCTCTGATGGCAAGTTCAAAGATGGGTGAGTAATGCTGGATTTCTGAATCCCAGGCTTCTTTTTCTTGGAATCGGTTAGCTTTTTGCCGAACCTCTCACTCGCGCTTCCAAGCCGATTGATCATTGTTGACGACTTATTCGACGCTGTTGGGTCCTCCTGAGCGGTTGTGATGTAGGTAAGAATCGTGGAGTCCCTTTCTATCTTATCCCTTGGACTAAATGCGGCCTCCTTCCTTTTCTCCGCCTCCGAACGAATCTTCTGTCTCATCTCCTCTTCATCCTCATTATCAGTTATCTCTTTTGGCCCCCTAAACTTCTCAGCCTTATCTAACGATATAGCCTTTACTGCAAGGGGTTCGTTCTTCGGCTTTGATAGTGAAGGACTCAACATCGAAGTACGAAGGCCCTCCCGCGACGATCTTCCTATATTCCCCAGAGACGGTAAGTTTCCTTGACGAGCGCTCAGAATTGGCGGTGATAGGGGAGGAGAAATCTCTCGAACAATGCTCAGAGGAGATGCATATCGTGGGTGCCGAGCCGTCGGAGACATTGGTGTTGATTGGTCTGACTGAATGGGAGATTGTAATACCTTGGAAGGTAATGATATTGTCGATAAAGCCCTCGGGGAAGTGTAGGCGTTTGAGTTACTTGGGCCGTATTGGCTGCGCGTTGGAGATGACGGGGGCTCCCCGATTGTCGACCTGGCAACCTTGTGAGGCACTGGCTGTTCCCTAAGCCTTGAGTCGAGACTATTCGCTGCCGAATGATTCCCCATGGGGGGCATCGCCGGTAGCTCTTTATCCACTCGCAGTATTGTAGTGGGCCTAGAGATGACCTTCGCAGTCACATTCTGCTGGGCTATATCACCACCTTTACTATCACCACATTCTTCACGGGGGCGACCTTCTGGTGGCAGTCTTGACCGTATAGGTGTGGTGATATCAGCAATACTCGAAAGCACGTTCCGCACTTTTTCCAGCTCGTCCCGCAACTCTACGATAGTAGCGTCCTTCTCTCTGATTAGCAGCAGTTGGCTTTCAACCTGCTCAGCTTGTCCCTGCAACTCGATGATGGTGGCGTCTTTCTCTCTGATAAGTAGTAACTGGCTTTCAATCTTCTCGGCTTGCTGATTGATAAGCTGCTCCTGCAGATCAGCGAGCTGGAGGTGTTGCTGCTCGAGGTTGATTTTAGCTTTTGAGTACTGATCTCTAGTATACTCCAGAGCGATAGGTGCGTAAAAGTCCATAGCGGCTTGGTTATTGTTGTCCATGGCTTAATATTCAGGTTTGTGACTTGAGGGTATTATTAATATTAGAGCTTATGGATAACCAGTATCGTGATCACAGCAATCAGCGTGAGGATAAAAGGAACTCTGTGGAGAACTACTCTTTATAGAATTGGCTTCCTATCTCGATCATATTGATCGCTAACATGACATTCTATGACGGACGTGGAAGAGCCTAGGCAGCTGGAGAGAGCTAAATTGGGCCTTGAATAGCATCTATAAACCATGTAGAATGGATAAGAGATGATGTCCACCAGGCGGAAAAGAACATTAGAAAGACACAACACACGCACGTATGGAAAAGAGACCGCGTTACATATAATGTATAAATTAACAAGAAGAACAATATAGAAACCATATGATACCCTTGCCCTCTCCCAATCATCCGAGTGATAATCCATGATTTATTGACTGATTATTTGATATCTTTTATTTTTCATGACAGGAGCGGCGGACGAACTTTATAAGGAAAGGAAAGAAAGAAAGAATTGAGCAGACATAAAAGATCGTGCTCAAAGGAAAAACTGTCATAAAGGAAAGTAATGGCCACAGGAACTCTGACAAAGGGGAATCATAAGATCATTCTGGTCATTGACACTGACAACGAGCACACCCGCCACAGCCACTTAAGCAGTATTATAGAGGAAAAAAACATTCTTTAACGCGTATCTACCGCCCAGCAGCCTACACGCATCTTGCCCGGTACGTTCATGCATCCATGGAACTCCCACTCCCTTTCTATGCTCGCTAACGCGCGGACAACCACGGACAGCTACTTAGCTAGCCCAGCGCACATCCATACAATTCTATCCATCCTCCGATGTCTCTCGCACTTGTTCCGATAAGGGAGTAATACTAACCCATCTTCTATACCTCCTATTCAATCTTTTACTCTCCCAGCCCCTAGCTGGGACTAGACTGTGCTCGTGTATCGTCCAGTACCAGATAAGCTACCGGAGATCTGATCTGCACCCACACACACCGCACACACTAGCTAGCCCGGGAAGGGAAGGGCAGGGCAGCGAGGACGGGTATCAGTTTTCAGATTTGGGTTTTGGCGTGGGCCCACGTGGTGGTGTCGAAGCTTCTGGATTTTTGGGTGTGTGGGTGTGGTGGACGTACAGATGTAGAGAGATGGGAGGTTTTTTGGGTTTGATAGTCCATGGTAGAGGTGGCCATGACGAAGTGTGAATAGTAACCTCAACTCTCTCCCTACTCTACGTATATGGCGTAGATCTAGAGTGAAGTAGAGTAGCACGCCCGGACCCGGAGATCTTCCCACACGGGCCGGATGGGTATGTACGCTATGCTGTTTTGTGTAGATTAAATATTCCGAACCAACCCACTACATCTGTATCTCTATCTAATCTCTATCGAGTTCAAATCTGAAATACTAAACACACACTGACCAGATATGCTTCAAACAATAACACCAGCAGCCATCTCAGCACTCCAAAGTAGGGTACATACATGTACAGTCTACATACATGTACCTGATTAGAGTACTTTCCTTACCGCATCCCACCCACCTTCCCATATATCAACCCGCCAGCCCATCCGCCCATCCGCCCCCGGTAGACATTCCATATCTCCATCCTCCGCTCCCACCCAATCAAACCTTTTTACAAATCCACCTAGGTATGCACCCAAACACTCTAGATGTAGAATACATGTACTCGCAGCAGGTAACAAGTACCCGAAAATGCACGTCCTAATCTGCAATTTCCATTGGAGTAGAAGTCAAAAATACACCAAAAACTTGCAGCTGCATATTCGGGTACTTCATGCCTGTCGCGAGTACCTATGTAGATGTAGCGTAGAAATATCTCTCCAGCTCTACATACATACATACGCCATACCCCTGCCTACCCATGCCTCCGCCCTACCTTACCTACGCAAAAAAAAAATTCTTCACAGATGCCAGAGCGACGTTGTATGAGTTGTCCATGCCACCCCCCCATTTTACCCGGCGCATACCCACGCACGTCCCAACGTCGGCGTCTCTCTACCTTCCACACATAATTCTCTGTCTCTTCTTGCGAGATGATTCGCGCGGGTAATATAGAGGCTTGTTGCATGGGCGGCGGGCGTTTATCCAGCGAATCAGGTGCGGGGCGCTAAGATCTGGGAGTGCACTGGGATGGGCTTTCCACATGGAGAGAGGGCGGGGAGGATGACGTGATGGTGCGCTATCAAAAGAAAGCAGGCAGGCAGGCAGGCAGAGAAGAGAAGAGAGGGAGGGAGCGGGAGCGGGTCGGGGCGTACTCTACAGTGCAGGCAGAGTGCGTGGTTGTATTTCCAGTGTCCTGGTGTGTGGTGTATTTTTTTTTTTTTTTCGTTGGTGTCGTGTCGGGAGGGAGGGAGTGCCGTGTTGCGGTGAGGAATTATATTGGCCGGGCCTTTATTTTCATTATTATTTGTGGTGATATATTCACTTACGAGTCTAACTAAGCTACTTAGGTAGGTACCGGCGATAGCTACTCTCGATACTCAGATACGAGCTAATCTACGTGTTGTCCAAGATCTGCAATGTATCTTTTCTTCTTCCGGGATTGCCAGAGAAGAAGAAGCAGCAGCAGTAGCATCCAGCAAAAGAAGAAGAAGGGTCGTGGGTTTGTCTCAGGCGCTATCTGCCTACTTTTGTGCCATTTTTGTATCTATATCTTACTCTCCTCTGTATACTTGCTTCTTCCCCGTACCTTTTCATAAGCTTATTATAAGTGGGGGTGGTAGGTTTCTCACTGTCAGGATGTCTATATTTTCTTCTTTCCCCGGCAGCTGAAGAAAGAGACAAGACAACGAACGGGCAACACGATAGATAGAGTAGAGGCACTCTCTCGTGTGTGTGTGACATCTGCACATTCCCAGCAGCGTGGGGTTGAAGCTTAAATTCCAGCAATGTACCGGCCTCACCTCCATAGAGCACTCTACCTTTCTGCCTGCCTGCCCTGCAGGGACCCCAATCAGAGTCGCCAAAGTCATCCCTATCGATAGTGTATTGGCCCTTCCGCTCGGTGAGACAGCATCCCGGAAGACAGGCAAAAAAAATTGCTTTGATGGCATGGCAGGGGATGTGCATTCCTGGGACCGTTAGACTTTTTTTCTTGACCTTCCGTGCTCGTGCTCGAGCTCGGAAGATACATAGAGTGATGAATCATGACGCAGCACCCAGCAGCAAGCAGCAGCAGCAATCTCTTATCTGAAGTTCGGCAGGTACCTAGATAGCCAGATAGCCAGGGAAGGAAGAAAAAAACGAGAAAAGAAAGGAAAAGGAAAAAAAAAAAATATTTATTTTTTCCTCTTCAACGCACAGGCCCGCACACCCGCTGGCTCGGGAAGATGAGCCAATACGCATCGAGAGCTAGTTAGCTGGTAAAGAAGCAGCAGAGGCAGGTAGATTTCAAACCTTCTTTCGCGGGGCCGCATTTTGATTCCACTTCCAGTTCGGGGGGTCGAGCAAGAAAAAAGGGCTAGCCAACAGAAAGTGCTTTCTGTTACCCTACTACGTCAGTTCAGTTTTTTTTTCTTTCCCCTGCGTGTCTCATGATCCTGTAGGCTGTAGGTAGGGTCATGTAGCTTCTCAAAGAAGCCGTGCTCCTACAGGTAAGTGAAAAGTTAGGGTAGCCCTCTGAATGGCCTCCTTCGCGAGCCAATGATCGATATTTCGTGCGAAAATATTCCGGCACGTGCACACTTGGAGGACGCCGATGAACATCGTGGTTTACTATGGCTATCGTGATATATAGGAACGTTCTTATTTCTCTTGCCATTCCTCGCGCGCAGCTCCCGTACGTACTCTAAATTCCCATCCTTACCAACAGCCCCCCCCCCCCCAAACCTTTCCTTACTTCCCCCCCCCCCCCCCGCAATCCCCGCAAATTGACTATCCCCGGATTTTAATCATGGCGGGAGATCAGATCGAGGGTAAGAAGAAGCGGAACTTCATCTACACGAGATGGATGGTTGGTAGCTGCCACGTTTCGAACGGCGGATGACCGACAACGTAACGACGACGACAACGACGACGATGTATTGTAGTTCTCGTCCCGTATCGGGTTCGCAATCGATGGCAGCAGCAGAGATTTACCTGTTGTCGTGACCCCTTGGTGCTTGGGCACGGGGGGACAAAAAAAAACTGAGGTATGATAGTTGAAGAGCTCGAGCAGAACGGAGACGGGTAAGCTGCCAACTCGAGACTATAACTGGGTCCCCCCAATAAGTAACAATTACCACTGCTGTTACTACTACCATCCCAGGGATTTTGCCACTCCCCCCATCCTTCACGAACTGGAACTACCCAAGCTCTGGATTCCCGATATGAATTGATATGAATAGAGCTTCACGATCGGGATGGGCTCTTTCGTCCTCTATCAAGAACAGGTCTGAACACGCGACAGGGCTAGGTACCTCTCCTCTGGCTCGATGTGTTGTTGGGGGCGACGTCAATCAACGTGTCCGTACGGGAGATCATTCTATGAATTGCCTATCAGAGCATAAATCACGTTCCGGTGGGTTTCAGATGTGCTGTAAGCACTCTCGGAAGGGAAGATGGGGATCTTGGATTGCACTGAAACAAGGGGATGGGGTTTTGTAGATTCGTGCCTGCAACAGATATTTCATCTCTATCCCCACATACCCCCCTCCTCTCCCTCCTCCTTCTTCCCCCTTCCTACCCTGAAGCTGTAAGCAGCATATGGGTTAGAGATATGTCGTTCCAATTCGACCGTAGTACCAATTCGACTCACTCCCCCGAACATTACTAGAATCCTCCTGAACGGATATTCAGGAGTCATGACGGTGTTCAAAGGTGACAGACGTCAAAAAGTTGCCGACCCATTCGAACAGCACAGAAGAAGCCCGGATGATTAGGAAGCTTAAGAAACCTGTATTTTCCTACCAGGCACCATAGGTAGGCCCAGGGTTATTGCATCTCCAAAATAGGACCCGGTAGGCTGGCTCATCAAGCTATTGGAACGATGCGCTGG